GCAGGGTTGTAGGTTTTATAAAGATGACTAAGGAAAGCCTCTCTGTCAGGAAAAAAAAAATAAAGTTGGAGAAGAACAATTTCATTTTTCTTTTTCTTTTTTTTTTCAAAGATTTTTATTTATTTATTTGACAGAGAGAAAAGCATAAGTAGGGGGAATGGGAGAGGGAGAAGCAGGTTTCCTGCTTAGCAGGGCGCCTGACACGGGACTGGATCCCAGGACCCTGGGATCATAACTTGAGCCAAAGACCAACTGACTGAGCCAACCAGGTGCCCTGAATTATTTCATTTTTCACTCAGTTATTATTTATTGAGCAACTACTATGTGCCAAGGTATAGACACAAACTCAAAGTAATTTAACATAAGTGTTTCCATGTATGATTGGACTCATCTCAACTTCTGTTCACATTGATGCTGAAACTTTAATTTCTACCATCTCTAAACAAAAATTACTACAGTTATCATACAATTATAGTTATTGAGCCCTACCATGTGTTTATCTACCTTATCTCATGGACTCCCCACAGGTGACTAGAAGGTAGGTGTCACTTTTGCTATTTTACAAATGAGAACACACTGGAAATGGGATAGTGATTAGACAAGGTTATGAAACCAGTAAGTGGCAAAGCTAGGATTCAACAAGAAAATTGTGAGTTGATAGCCTGAGCCTTTCCTCCATTCCTGCTGTTCTCTAGGGGATAATGAGCCTGTAGTACCAGCCAGAAGAAGAGCCCTGAGTTCTGACATTGAATAAAAATTTGATGGGGCTATCCTATGCTAACAAAGTTTTCTGGTAACATATGCAGAGTGTGACCAGTCCTGCAATGGTAATGCTCTGAGGAAAATAGTGTTTGCTTTCAAAATGTCTCTCCATCACCTTTTAGCAATATTCCCACTCTCTGGCTCTTTTTTTCCCCCTCCTTGATGGAATTGGAAGGGGAGATAAAAAGGCATAGGGAATTCCTATAGTGTCAGGACCTAATTAGCACAGAAAAATGCCCAATAAAATATTCTGTATCTATGAACAACTTGAAGCTTAAGCATCATTTAGAATCAGTGGTCTTCAAAATTTTAGTATAAGCTTTAAAATCCCTTTGTAAAATTGTTTATCCTTTTGTATAATTTTGTAAGAACATCCAAATTTTTTTATCATATATGTAAATATTTGCCAAAGATGTGATTTCCAGCACATTACAAAAAACTGACACTTTAAAATAAAACTTTCGGGCGCCTGGGTGGCTCAGTGGGTTAAGCCGCTGCCTTCGGCTCAGGTCATGATCTCAGGGTCCTGGGATCGAGTCCCGCATCGGGCTCTCTGCTCAGCAGGGAGCCTGCTTCCCTTCCTCTCTCTCTGCCTGCCTCTCTGCCTACTTGTGATCTCTGTCTGTCAAATAAATAAATAAAATATTTTAAAAAAAATAAATAAATAAAATAAAATAAAACTTTCATATTAGTCTTTTATACTTAACTCATATCCCTTTAAAATACACTTGCTATAAGATCTTACTATTGTAAAATTTAAGTTGTTTCATTTTATCTTTAAATCTACTTCTGCTTCTATTATTTCTACCTCAGAATAATAGCCTTTTGTCTGAAAGTATTTATCTTCTCCTACTGCTAACAAAAAAATTAGAAAATAAAACTAGTCATAAGAAATTAAAATTAATTTTAATTTTAGTCATAAGAAATTAAAATAATTTTTAAAATTTCTTTGACCATGAGGCCCTTTTTAAAAAGCTGAATTGAGTTGTGATTATTATTAACAAAACAAGAAAATTTATACCAAAATTTAACAGATATTAAACGTGAAGCCTAATATTTTTATTAAAAACACCTCTCTTAAGGATATCAATGGGCTTTTTGACTGTTTTTCGGTTGGTTCAGGTATCCATGGATACGTGTTACTTCTTGCTATAGTGAGAGGTTTCAGCAACAACTCTATGTTAATCCTTTGTCTTTATGAGGATATTTACAAAGCAAACATCTTCACATAATGTGTAGATAAGAATGCAACATGTTTTGTTATAGTTATGTTGTTTGCTTCTCTGAACTACAGCTGAATTAAAGTTTGTATGTGATTTATCACGTTTTATTAAACCAGGTTTTTACAACCTTCCTTAGCTCCCTATTTTATGTAGGTATGCATCCAAGCATGCACACCTGCATACATGTAAATGCTATGTCGCAACTTGTACCTAACAAAGGGCATTGTTGTAGAATGTCCTTAGCAACAAAATGGAGCACTTAATCTTTTCATAATGTTATTGTTAAATGACGACCATATTGTTAAAGACGACCATATTATAATACCACGTGACTTAGGAAAAAAGATAAGCTATGTTAAACAATGGTTGGCACTCATGAGAATAATCTATTTCTCTTCTCACAGAATACTGAAACAAATGTTATCAGCCATAAGGAATTTTTCCAGCTATCAATTTTAATGTATTCCTGAAGAATACCATTAAATTATCCTCAAATAATACAACCATGTTATTTGCTTTATTATTAATCAAATATTTGTTTCTTAAAGTGCCCATGCTCCTGCGGGGAGATAAAATTTGAATTCAACTTATATCGTGTTTCAGACTCAGAACCAGCTATTAATGGATTTTGATCTATGGCAAACAAATTCCCAATATATAGCACCAGCATCAGGCACGTGACGCTATAGCATTTGTATACAAGCGATACCATTTTGGATCCAGAACAATGTTTTAATTTTACTTGAGGCACGGTCCCAAGTTACATTCTGGTTGTATTTTCAAATCCATCAGTGACAATAATGTAACTTCATGTTCTGGTAACTCTACTTGTTGTCAGTTCCACCTTTCAGACAAAGAGAAATTATTGCTTCTTCCAATAAGTATTATGAGACTTGCTAGGTGTAAAGCAATTGGAGAGGGCCTGATGAAAGGTACCATCGTAGGTAAGTACAAAATAGTTAGGCAGGCATTGTACCACATGTCATTTCAGCTAGCCTGGCTGACTAAATTGCCAGCTAGTTGTCCCTTATTGTGGAGTTACTTTGGAGAAAAAAGGGCCAACACAGGATTGATCTTACCTAGAACATGGTATATACTTGGGAATGTATCTCATTGAGGTTTGTTTGTTTGGCAAGAAATTACTTCTTTTTTTTTTTTTTTAAGATTTTATTTATGTATTTGACGGAGAGAGGGAGCACAAGCAGTGGGGGCAGCAGGCAGAGGGAGAGGCAGAAGCAGGTTCTCCACTGAGCAGAGACCCTGACATGGGGCTTGATCCCAGGACCCTGGAATCATGACCTGAGCTGAAGGCAGATGTTTAACCCACTGAGTCACCCAGGTGCCACAAGAAATTACTTTTTAACTCCAACTCAGGTGATTTCACAAAGATTTGTGATCACAAGTAAGTGAGCTAAGTAACCACTGAGGCATGAAATGCATGAATACTTCTTATTTTATGACTTTATTTCCAGATGTGCTCATGGCAGGGAGGTTAAATAGGGTTTATCTCTAGGGTCATTTCTAACCAATTGGTTATGGTTATCAGGAGGGCAGTGATGAAGGGGAGTCTGAGGCCACAGGTAGAGTCTCCAGAAAAGGGGTTCATGGGAGATAAGATTCGTCTCCTACACAGTGAAAGAAGAGAACTGTAGCAACAGTACCTTGTAATTTCCATGCCTGGCAGAGGCCCTAATTACCATAGTCAAGTCAGAAAGTGGTAATGACATTCATACACATATCTAGGAAAGTCCCTAAGGGCATGGCACACCCAACCTGGCCAAGTCATGTTCAGATCTCTAAGTAGACAGAAATATTTTGTCAGCTGGAATTTTTCCTAGTAACTGACTAACCTGAAAATAACCAATTGAATTCTACGAAGCCATTGCTCAGCAACCAGTTGTTTGATTAAATTCAACTTGCTTTTCTTCATAACAATGCAGATACAGATGACCTACCCTTTGAGTAAACACTTTTTTAGCGGTTGGCTTAATTTCTAATCATACTCTGAAAAGGCCCGTAGGACCTCAGAACATTTAAAAGCACACATTACCTTGTTCTTTCCTGAAGCCAATTAACTGGGCGGATTCTTTACATTCAGTTTGAAGGTCTTGTACTTTAGCTAAAGTTTCATTTTCACTCCCAGCAGCTGGAAAGCTACCTCCTTGCACAACAGAAACTAAGTGTGTACCTCAGATGTACTGAGCTCAACGGGCCTTGGCGCCAGCCCCCAAAATACTGGTGTGCAGAATATCCCAGCAAGGGCAGTTTCACTCTGCTCCCTTTCATAAGCCATGGAAGGAAGTGAAGGAAGCCTGCCAGGTTGTTATTCAGCTCCAGTATTGAATCAGGCATTACCTGGGCATTTGTGAAACTCTCCAGCTTCTATGAGAGTAAAAGCAAAGAGAACATGGGATGGAAACTACTTAATTGAGAAGGCTCTCAGAATTACTCTGGATCATGTGGCCATTCTCACACAGGTCCCAGTAACTCTCCAAACTCCTGAAAATCAGCAACAAAGCCCCTCTCAATCCTGGTGATTATTTCTAACTGAACGCTTCGCAGCTTTCTCAAGGAGGCCAATACACATTAATTCACTTTGTGTGAAGTGTGACTTTCTATAAAATTGATTTCAGTGGACTGCAGACAAGACCCCTCACCACTGTGTTTTCTCCATTCAGTTTTTGGTACACAAAGGGCATCCTACTATGGGAAAGGCAGGTTTGTTGATGATGTAGGAGAATAACATGGGCTCACACGGAGTAACAGGTGCAGGGCGTGAGTCATTTTGGTTTCCTCACCTGCAAAGGGCAAATCCAGCATGTGCCAGAAATTCCAGATACACCAAGGAACATTACCAAAGTCTTTGTCCTTTTTTTTTTTTTTTTTTTTCATTTAGGGCAGGAAATGGATGCCCCTTGTTCTTCCACTGCTCAAGAGAACTAGCCTGCCCCAACGTCAAAACGATCAACCTATGAAACCTGGAGGGTTGGACTTTTCTTTCTTTCTTTCTTTTTCTTTAAGGTCTGAATGAGGTGATATCTTCACGCTGACAGCTGAGAAGCAGGTCAGTCAGGTTCTTGGGTGCTCTATTACACAAGCAAGATTTGGCCAGCTCCACCTAATTTTGTTTCTCTGACACCCTCCTGCTCAGTGGGACATTGTCATACTTAACCCATCTGCTTTCTCTAATGCTCGGCAGACTCATTCCAACCAGGACAGCTGTCTGTGGTATTTCAGTTCCTGTTTGTAAATACCTCCAGAACCTGAAGGTGAGTGTGGACTGGGTTACCTAGGATCCCAGCTCTCTCTCGCTCCTCTCTCTCTCCCTCCCGCTCTCTCTCTCTCTCCCTCCCTTCTCTCTCTTTCTCTTTATCTCTCTACCCCCCTTTTTTTCCCCCTCTCTTTCCCTTTCTCCTTCCCTCTTTGTCTCTGGCTCTCTTTTATTTGCCAAAGAGAATCAAAGTAGGCTCAACTTTTTGACAGGACTGCCTGGCAAGTAGCTACGGAGACCCTTATAAAAACAGGTAGTTGTTTCATTAAGTAATTACCTACAAAATGAGCATTTGCACTAAGTGACTTAGCTTAGCTTAGGAATTACTGCCAAATTTGCTCGATGATGAAACCAGCTGGAGAGTTAAATAAAAACCTTACTTAAAATGTACATGACTACAAGAGAGAGTTGCCTTAAGTCAGATCTTAGTATCTAAGTTTCACGATATTTAAAGTGGAAATGACATTAATATCAATTGATTATTTAGATTTAAATTATGCTTTTAGGCTTTAAGAATTTTGCAAAAGTATTAGAATATGACAGTTTTTGGAAAACAATCTTTGAATACAATGAATTACCAGCTTCTGTACATCTCTTCCAAAGATTTTATTAATCAAAAAATTGACAAAATGTCGTGTATGTAACTATTTCACTTAGTGTGGTATGTGTGTACATCTGACGCTCACTGGAAATCTGAATGGCCAAGTCAGTTGCTATGAAACACATCTTATGGAATGAAGGTGTGGATCATGTTTCTTAAAATTATTTTCAGTTTGTGGTTAGGTAAAGCTTCTTTAATTAAATGGATGTTGATTTACTGCTTGGCACTTTCTATTTTATCCATTGAGGCATTTTCTACAGACAGTAAAATATAATAGAAGGCTGAAAACTCCATGCTTGGGAGTCTAGGTCTAGAATATTCTGCAGGCAGTTTTTCTTTCTAAGTTTGATACTCTTCTACCTAATTATTTCAGTACTGAAGATTATGACTAACAATGCTCAAATTAGCAGGGAATATGACATTCTATATATTTTTCCTGAATTCCTGCATACCCCAGAGTCTTTTAATGAGAATTATGTTCGCAACTAGAATTTTTTTTCCCCCCTGAAAGAAAGCCTTGTCTTTCCTTTCTTTTTAAGTCAAATAAAAGCGAAATGATATGCCTGCATTCCTCAGGTACAATCCTCCTTTCTGGCTTCTAAGTGTTCTCATCCTTTCAAAACCCTCTTATTAAAAGAGGCATTTTTAGAAGCATAGTTCATTATGTCCTCATTTATTACAGTTCTTTCATTTAGGAAAAACAATATACTGTTCAAGATTGTAAAGGCCACTCAAGAGTAACACTCACTGTCTGCCTGGGATATAGGCTAATGACAGACTGAATTTCCTATGATGAAGAAAAACAAACCCATCTGTGTTAACCTGTAGCCTGAGATCTATAATAAAAAAAACAAGCAAAAGTAACTGAAAGAGAACTAGCACATTCTATGTTCTTTTTAGTTATTTTGCTGCAGAAACACGTTTTTATAGTACCCCTCAGTGCACTGAACTAATGTTATAATTTAAAGCTTGGATTTTGTTTGACTTGCCAATAACTAGCATTTCTGTTCCCTTGCATAGGTTGATTACCTGATACAAACCAGGGTACCTCCTTATTTTTAAAGCTTGATATAAAATGGGTATGACTCAGTTATAACAAGAAGGCTGGGCAGAATAATGACTCTATGCATTTAAGGGCAAGCAAAATTATGTGGAGAGTCTGGACTTGCTTCCCTTAATGGCCGGGGTTGTTGTGTTTCTCTTACCACTTTCTATAGTCCTCCCTACAAAAGTCGTAATGTAAAACCACTTTTTAGTGTCAACACCAAAAACAGAGGAGAAAACTGTGTTCATTTTCTCTGCATAGAGCAATTATCTTAAAAAAAAAATAGTGCAACTCACACCCTTTGAAAGTATATTTTAAAATGTGTTAAATACCACAAATAATAAAAATAGTTCAATGTATACAGAAAGGTTTAGAATCTGTGTTTAAAATATCATAAAATGAGTGGAAATCCTTTTTCTCTGTTCCGTTTATAATAATTCTTATCTTAGAAGTTTTTCAAGTTTGTAATGATCTTAGCTCTGTTCCTATGCTCTACACCCTCAAATTTCCTCTCTCAAATTTCCACCTAGGGGACAAAAAGGGCAAAAAGAACAGGAGGGAAAACGATGCTCCCAGGTTCTCTTGATATACTCTCTTTCTACAATTGCATTTTTTCTTTGGTTCCACTTCTGTCTGCCTCCACAGTGCACCTGGCTGACAGATGAACTCGGGCATACACAAGCTTGCCAGCTATCATCCAGCATACATTTACACAATGAGTATACAACACACTTTAAATACTTAAACTCTGGAGATGGAGAGAGGCTGAGAGGAAAGTACAAAGAGAAAGAGCACAGATTTTTTTTTATTGCCCTTCAGTGCTTCTGTACTAACTCCATTAGCCTTTGGGGCTTACACTGCGTTCAATTCAGAATAGGATTGAATTTAACCCAAATTTCCTAGTCCTTGTCCAGCAAAAGTCCAGGGCTGGGGTTCTGAATAAATGATGGTTTCAATTTCCCTTTGCTTCTATCCCTTTAAGATGAAGGGACCTGAGCAGAGAGGTGTAACCTGTTTCTCTTGGAAGCTAAGGAGCAGAAGCAAAGTTATCCTCCACTGTCAGGCCAGGATAGCAGGAATAAACCAATTCTCACAAGAGCTGTACATATATCTATATTATTTTTGTAATAAACTGCAAATGTTATTCACAACACACATCATCCCTCTCTCCCATCTTTCTCTTTTCCCTGGAGATAAATTATAGGCAGTAACAGAACGCTTGGGTCATTTGGGGTATTAATACCTTAGGTTTTCAAGTTACAATCAAAAGCTGGGTGAAGGGTAGAGAGATCCCATTGGTGGTTCAATGTTACAAAGTGAATCAGGAACAACAAAACTCACTTTGCTGACTCTTGATATGTGGATTCTCATTACCGGAAGGGAGTGAAAACTCAATACCACGTTTCTCATGTAACATGAGAAAACTAGAACAGCTAAGGCCTATTTTTTCCCCTTCTGGTGACCACTTCATTAGGAAGAGAAAATAACCAGAAAGGGAAAGTAAATAAAAATGTATAATAATGAAAAAATGGGTGGCTAAGGACAATTTATAAATTTAATGAGACCACTAGAATTAAATAATGAAAAGGGCTATAATGTTTGCTATGAACTTGACAGAGTTCACAGGAGAAAGATTTTTCTGAAAAGATGCATGGAAGTATTTTCAAACTAAATTGAATTATATTTTAAATGTTCTGGGTGAGGTATCAGTTTAATAATGTGTTGGTGAAGTGGAGATCCTGGGGATAACTTTTGTTAATTTGTAAACTACATGCCAAAGGGGTCTACCTAGAATCATAGAGATAATCGTTGGGGTTTTCTTAAATTAGGATAAAAATGTATTTAGTGTGTTTGAGGGGGACTTAAGGTAGAAGGCCCTATTTTTCCAGTGTTTAAAATAATGGTATTATAAACTACTTTGAGTAAAATAATAAAACTTGGAGAAGCTGTGCTAAAAAAAATGTTGGTGGGAAGAAGTTCTAAAAAGCAGCTGAATTCTATATTTCTTTGTAACCAATTTCTATATTCCTTTGTAACTTCTGTTACACAGATGGTGATGACTAGCTTTAATGCTGAGGTTTGAATCCTAACCCGATCTCTGTCACTACTCTGTGTCCTTGACACTTTTCTTTTCAATTAATTTATTTATTTTAGAGAGAGGTGGAGGAGGGGCAGAGGGAGAGGGAGAGAGCATCCGAAGCAGACCCTACACTGAGTGCAGAGCCACACATGGGGCTCCACCTCACGACGCTGATACCATGAGCTGAGCCAAAAACAAGAGTCGAAGGCTTAACCAACTGGGCCACGCAGACTCCCCCCATTGTTTACATTTTTAATGCCCCATTTAATTATGTGTGAAACAGGATTGATAATTCCTTCCTCATTGTTGGTTTGTTTTTGGTAAGAACTAAATGAGAAAACGTGTGAAACATCTGATTTAATAAAAGCAGAGTAGTAATATGTTTTCCAATGATGTTAACAACTTTTAGGATCTAAATCCATATGCTTGGCTATCACAGAAAAGTGAATGAAATATAAACAGACAATATCACAAATATAAATACCTATGTAATTCCTACCAGATCAAGAAACAGAGTATCGGGAGTATGCAGAGTCCACTTCCAGTAGATTTATTTATTTTAGGGGGCGAGGAGGGGCAGAGGGAGAGAACCTTCAAGGAGACTTCCACTTAGAGTGGAGCCAGGCACAGACTTCCATTTCATGACCATGACCTGAGCCAAAACCAAGGGTCCGACATCTAACCATTGAGCCACCAAGGCACCCCTGCCTTGCCTTTAAAGTAGAATTTATTTAAGTGATAAGCGTAGGGCATGGAAGATATTACATTTTGAAAGCCTTAGGAATCCACAGGTATAGACTAATAACTGAAAGAAAAATATGTATCAGGATGTATTATAAATATATTTAAGTTGTACCACTATGTAAGATATCATTTAGCAGGAAAGAGGCACTTAAATCCCAAATAAAATCAGAGGACGTATTTAGAGGCTTCTCAGACCCTAATGAAAAATTAAGGTTGACCATCACTGTAAACATTTCTGGGAGAGCTTTTAAGAAATGCTACGAAATACTGGACCTTAAAAATATCAGATGCACATCCCTCCTTTTCTTATCTTGGTCATCCTGGAGGCTTTTAGTGAAAAATAAGCTCTAAGATCCAATTCAAAGAATAGGAAATCAGTTATCAGACTGTATTGTTTGGGGGAGGAATAGTCTAACATTTTAAAAAGAATATTTTTTATATTAAAGATATTTCAAATTTTATTTTTATTTTTTTATTTAAATTCAATTAGCCTTTCAAATTTTAGCATCCAACTAGGTTGAAGTCAGTAGAGTTGGATTTCAGTCATTCTCTTCCTTTCATTAGCTGTCTCCTAGCCACTCTGAACCTGAACCTTCCTTTGCAAAATAAGAATATGCAAGTTATTTATTTATCTATTTTTTTGGTCACAAGGGATCATTGTGAGGATCAAGTGAGATGATATTGCAAACTTTCTGAGATGTAAGGCACTTACAGGAATATTATATTTTCATAATAAAAAATGGAGGTTAATGTCTACTAGCTGCTTACTTCAGGCCAGGTATTGATTCAAGTACTTCTATCTATATAATTTCATTTAGTCTTCAGAACATTGCGATTTCAGTATGATTATAATGACGAATAAAGTAACTGCTTATTATGTTGATTATTTTTCACAGGTTATTCATAATAGAAGTCAGAATTTTAATATAAATCTAATTTTAAGATCTTTTCCCCGTATCCTCCTATCAATGAATTATGGTACTTCCACATTTCAGAGGCAGAATGATAATGCTTGGATTGAAGTTCTGGACCAGGGTTTCAACCTCAACTCTGCTACTATCTAACCATGTCATTTTTTTCTACACATGCTCCCAGATGTTTCATTTATATAATAAGGGCACACAAAGGAAGATTATCCTGAAATCTGAGAGTCTTCCTGATTTTCCCTAATTTTGATTAGTAGGAAGAAGGGCATCATGAAAAGTATTGTGAAAAAAGGGATATTAATTTAAAATTCAAATAACTCAAATGAGGTACTAATAAAATGTTTTTAAGTGGAAGTCCTGATTCATTTTAAAGTGGTATGTTTAGAGTATAATCAGTAACTTCATTTTCATAATAAACATTCCAAATGATATCGTTATAAAAACCCTATTTTCTTAAATATGTTAAAGAAATCAGCCAGGTATACATGCTCTATATTTACAATATTTTACTTAGCAATCCATATATAATATTTCAAATATATATAAATATTTCAACTTGTCCCAAGATAAATGATCTTTGAAATAGTGGAATAGTGGTATGTGGCTTGACAAAGTTTTTGCATGGCATTTCCTTAGAAAAAAGAAGAAATAAATATTATATAGAAAATAGAACTCACTCTAGATTTAGTATATAATCCAAAGAAAACTAACTTTTAGAATAAAGAGTATGGCATTATCAATTCAGTATTATATCTCTAGATGTTTACTTTAAAGATGTAGATCCTTTAAAAAAAACACTATGTCATTTAATAATTCAGATGCTTATTATTTGTTTTTCAGATTCCCCTTAATAACACCAATACCAAAAAAGGCTACAATGTTGACCTCAGCCAAAATTCTACTGATTTCTAATTTGTTTAGTTTACTATTAATTGGAAGCCATGGGAAAGAAAGTCTAGAGAGAAACACAACACAAAGCATTGCAGCAGGCTCAAAAACAATGGAAAATGAATCTGTTCCTTTGGAAAGTGATAGAAATTTAAGCTCAGATAAAGAAAATAGAGAAACGTCCAATCCTGAGGCAAGTAATTCCTCTCTTTGGGACCCATTAAATAAACACCATGGAACAACAGATGTCTTCAGCAATCCATCAACGAACAACTTTTCTAGGAATCCAAGACCCATGCCTACGTCTCCCACAAGCCATCCTCTGATCCATAGCTCTGTTTCTAAATTGTCTTGGAACTCATCCATAGCAAATGAAAATTCTCTTCCAGTCTCAGCACCTCCCAAAGCTACATCTGCTATATCTTCAGAAAAGTTCACTTGGTCTTCAGCCAGTGATACCATAAAAACTCCTGACAACAGTTCCATTTCAGTTAGCATCCTCCCTACGGCACCAAACATCACATCTGTGACTCCCATGGTAACAAAACCAGATGAATGGCTCACCACATCCAATGACAGCTTCATAGGGTTTACCCCCTACCGAGAAACAACAACTCTACAGCCCACCTTAAAGTTTACCAATAATTCAAAAATCTTCTCCAATACATCAGACCCCCAAGAAGGTAAATATAAATGGATTTAACTTTCCTTTTGTGTGAAACTGAATCTCGAACTAAGTCATACAGATTACATCTAAAGAATGTACCATATTGAAAAAAAAAAAAAAAGACTACAGCAGCACAGGTGGTTCACACTTCTGAGGGGCAACCATGATATTCAGTGGAAATAATAAAGGGATTTTCAGGCTTTAGTCAGCATACAGTAGTCATTACGTATGGGAACACGATGAGACAGCGGGACAAAATTAGAGGTAGGTTATTAGGTTGAGGTAGCAGTACAATTTTGAAGATACTGGGCAACGATTTTCTGAGAATCTGAGAAAACTGCCTGAAATGCCCCATGCTTTTAGGAACAATACGCAACTGAACTTTAGAAATATATGTATGTGAAAACTGAATGAAATAAATGAATTTATAAATTATCTGATATCACATAGGAAAACATATATATCATAGGAAAACAGAACACTGATATTTTTTTAAAAAATGTAAGTAAACTCAACAAAATAAATCCTCCTGAATTCTTAGTTTAGTACCTAATGAATACCTTAAAAAATTGTTTCTTAAATTCCACATATGAGTGAAATCATATGGTATTTGCCTTTCCCTGAAATTTAAAAAAAAATACTCCTTTTCCTCCCATGAATTCAATGATTCCAAATACAACTTACTTCCATATTATATTAGTGATGTAAACACTAAATCATACATATAAATTCCTACTTGGAAGTTGTAGTGTATAGGAGAAGTTTTAAATTCTGAAATCTAGGCTTTATAATAGCACTGCAGCTAATAGATTTATGTACATATATTTTCATTTTAGCTATAATTTTAATGCATCCTTTCATTCATACATACTCTGATACTACACCAGGAAGTTTTGTTTTTGTTTTTTGAGATAGAGGGAACAGGGCGGCAGGGCGTGGCAGGGAAGAAGGAAAGAGAATCTTAAGCAGCACCACACCCAGCATGGAGCCCCACATGGGGCTCGATCTCATGAAAGTGAGAACGTGACCTGAGCTGTAACCAAGAGACGCTTAACTGACTAAACCACCCAGGCGCCTCTACATTGGAAAGATTTTTAATAAATATTCTCTTTCTTTTGTCTCTCTAAACTCAATATACATACTAAGAATACTGAGTACTTATGTCCACCAGTGCTCTTTAATCAAAAGAAAATTGGTTAATCTTGTTTCGCTTTTATTTTAGTAGTAATTTTGCTGTAGGTTTCTAGTGTGTAGGTTAATGTTTTTATAAATGGATTTTAATATAGAATTATACACTTTATAAGACTCCTTGCCCAGTTAATAACATTCTCATGATTTTTTTTTTTTTTTAAACTCTGAAAATACAATACACTAAATATGAGTTCAGGGAGAATTGCATAGTTTGTTAATAACAAACTCAGGCTTCAAATAAGGTACTTAGTAAAAAAGGAGATAGAGTAAAATTTTGGGGTCCCTTAAACTCAGACCTACACATCTGTTCTCAATGTGCAAGACATTGCAAACATCTTGCTTTGGTCTATTTATTGCATCGGGAAATGTCCTGTATTAGGATATACTCCTTTTCCCTTATAGTGCCTTTTCAGTTGGGGTTTTATGGATTCATTTCCTATTACCCACTTACTCCCATTAGCTTTTTACTTTTCAATTATTATAGAAACAAGCCCAAAGTTCATTTCATCATTAACGTTCATTAGAGATTCAGAGTTGATTAAAAGCAATATAGCACTCAACATAGAAATTAGATCTTAATGGAGCATACACATGGCACTTCAGTACTATTGTTTTTAAAAAAGGAATGAGAGACAGTTATAAAAATAAGAAGTGTTTAAACATAATTAAAAATTTGAAGTATGGTTTTATAAGGAGGTATATTTGCCAATATATCCCAAATACTCAGTACTTCACAAAATACACAAACATATCACTATTATCTAACTTATAAAAACCCAATATTGTTTAAACATTTTTTGTTATGAAGTCTAATGTATATATTTCTCTTCTTTGAAAAATTATTTTCTATTTCTTCATCTGTTAATTATTTTTTCTTTCTCCTCTAGAAAATAAAAATACAGGAGTAGTATTTGGGGCCATTTTAGGTGCTATTCTGGGTGCTTCACTGCTTAGTCTTGTTGGCTACTTGCTGTGTGGAAAAAGGAAAATGGATTCATTTTCCCATCGGCGACTTTACGATGACAGAAACGAACCAGGTAAAAACAACTTTCAAAACCTCACCCGCACACTGTGGATTTAATGAAATGAGGATGCTAATGTTCACTACCTTATCTAGAAGGGATCTGGAGATTTGTATGACAGAAACAGGTGCAAGATTTATTCTGATCTACTCTCTGTTTCTCAAAGAACATAACCAAAATAATTATGGGCTTGTGGGTGGAATTTTAAAACTATATGGAGCTGTGGATCATTGCATCACAATTAGTTTTAAATAAACCAAATCCCAGAACCTAAAACATGTCTATGGAATTGGAAGAGAATGGTATGCCATTGAAGGAAAAAGGGTCAGTGCTGTTAGCAAGTAACTGCACAGCCACATTTTCTGCCATTGTTGGATCTCATGGCAGCAGTAATTTGAACAATGACTTATTCCAATCTGCAGTTCTTCTAAAGTTTACACAGATGCAGGAGTCCTCAATCAATTGTCTTAATGAGTCTCTAGAACAGAATCGATAGAGTTGTATATCTGGGTACATAAAATCACAATAACGAAGGAATTTTTCACTCATGGGAGAGAAAAGACCAACTCTAAGATCTAAAATGAGAAATGTGTCTGCTAAGAATAAAGAACTGGATTTCTTCTTAATGTAATACTGATTAGAACAGAATTGAAATAATTTCACATAATTGATTTGTCTTTTTTTTTATACTTCAGGGGGAAAAATGTTTTCTGTTCTACAAAGGACTCTTGCCACCATAAAAAAATAGTTAAATGCCCTGGTACATCCTGTCAATAAAGTCTTGTTGATTTTACTAAGTTCAGAGCATGACTGACATACTGTTCATCTTCAGAACCAAATCCATTAACTGTAAATTTAACTGAATTCTATTTTGGGGGTTTCTAGGAATCCATATAAAATAAAAAGTGGTACTTTTCAAAATTAAAGGATAAGATTTCAAACAACAGGGGTTTCCAAACCTTTTTTTTAAACTCCAGATTTACCTGTAATCACATGCAAAAGCTCAGTCTGTCAAACTGATACAGTCTAAGATGTTGTGATCAAGGCATAATGGAATAACTCAATCACAACACCTACTTTCCTCCCTCAAGACAGCTTTAAGAAACCTCCCCCAAGTCTGTAAGGTTACTGGGCACCCAGTCTGTAAACAGAAGGGGTAAAGAATACTTAGGACATAGGAATACCTAACTGAATAATTAAAATTAAATAAAATAATAATAAATTAAATTAAATAATAATATTAAATTAAGAATTAAAGTTAAATCACTAATCTGATTAGTAATTAGTCACTGTCTAGTACTTATTTTTACCTAGCACATACCAAGTTTTCTTTGAAAATAAATTCAAGATCATTAAAGATGTAAAAATTGGCTGTTCATTGAAAAAGTAAAAAATAATCTCATAACATTAATCAGAGAATGCCAAGTGCATGAAAACCAGGATCTATCACAAAGAAATATAAGGTTTTACAAAGAGTTTTCTTCCATCTTTATCTTCCCTGGCTTAACCATAAAGATATTGAGACACTTAGAAAAATAATGACACTGATTTAAAATTGATGCTCTTCAGTATTTAAAAATTATTTTTTTACACCAGAAGTAAAAATTCAAGGCCCTGAACTCAAAATTCAATGAGACATATGTCTGTCTGTGCTTCTTCATACAAAGTACCACTCTACACTCATTATGATTTCTCCCTTAGTTCCTTTATTTTTGGTTCGCTAGTAGTAAAATTATTTCAGAAGCTAAACTGCTCTTAGTCTTAGAAAGAAATGTGTCATGAAAAGTATATACTTATTTAAAACTTCAAAACCAGTATCTGCAAAGCCCATATGAAATCTAGAACAATTCCTATAGTCTGGCAGATGCCCAAGCATGCATCTTCCAGATTGTCACCATAAAATAATTTTTTTTGTTACTTTTTTAGTTCTGCGATTAGACAATGCACCAGAACCTTATGATGCGAGTTTTGGGAATTCTAGTTATTACAACTCCACTGTGAATGATTCATCTATGCCAGCAGGCCAAGAAAATGCACGGGACGGCATCCCTATGGATGACATACCTCAACTTCGTACCTCAATATAAAAGAAAAGGGAAGAAGGCTTCTGACAGCAAATGATCGCCTACACCCTAGTCTTTTCACAAGCCCATCTTCCAAAAGCTGAAGCAAGATCACTGTCATGTGGCTGTGCCAAGGAGAACTATAAAAGTATGAGACTAGGAGCAGAAACTTAGAGGATAAATCATCTAAAAGGTTTCCTTTCTTACCATTTCTGGCTGTACAGAATCATCTATTGAGTAACCTTAATTCGTATTTAGGTCTATTTTACTCTTAGTGTGAAACGTTTGTGGGAATCAGGTAAAACTAAAAGGGTTCACGATGCTTGCCCTGCCTGATAATTTAACTAACCCTGTTGTCCTAATTGCATGCATCAATATTGGCATTTTCTTGAAGGCAAATTAGGACACTTTCTTGAAGGAAAATTTTTTAAAATTTTGACTTAGAGAGTATATGGAGTTTCTGCTCCTGGGGAAATTAAGGTAATGGAAGTGAGAGACTTGTATTATAGAACGTTTTACTTTCCCGTCTCAGCACATACATGGTCAGCCCCTTGAATGGCCAAGCTGACAATGACTTTGCTTTCAATAGGGCAATGGTAGGGAAGCTGACTCTTAACCAGGAATGGCATCAGTTCTCTTCAAAGGGTGAGGAATCTTAACATGTCTGATTTCTTTTAGGACTCAATTAATTGGGTGCTTTAAAGAGTCAATGAGAAACATGGTGATAAAACTCAGCCAAAGCATATACTTGTACATAATTTTTACAGTTTTAAGATGTTAAATAAGAACAAGATTTATTATGTATTAGATATTGTTGCTTAATCATACATGGAATAGATACTATCTCTCTAAGTGTGTAAAGTGTAATGTTAAAAAAAGACATATAGAAATATTATGCAAACAACACATTTTCTGAGCATCACTTCTACACACAGAAGTACAAGTGTTATAAATTTGGATTCTAGCATGTTCCAGTTTTTTTTTTTATAATTACCACCAGCTTTCAGCAGGAAAAACACACTCCTCAGTATAGGAAGGTCAAGGCTTTAGGGACTAGAGGATTAGCAGAAGAATTAAATTCTCAAAGAAGCCATGAATGTATGAAGCAAACAAACAAAGCAAGAGATTTCATTGTTGAATTGATACACAGGGTGTGTTTGTGTGTGTGTGTGTATGTACGTGAAGAAACACAACAGCCTCAGAAAACAAGGACAAGCAATTAAGTAACAGAAGAACATACTTACCCCATATTGCCATAAAAATAGCAAAGAAGACGGTCCCTCCATTATCAAACAAATATGTCACCTTAATGGAAAATGAAGCAAAAATATTAATCACATACTGATTATAGTAATCTAGTGATTACAGTGTACATTTAAGTTCTATGATATTTTTTTCAAATGAATCACATTATTTTAAGGCCTGTAAATATAAGATGTGTGATCCTTTCATGAGTCCTGCAACTGTTTCTTACGATTTTTTCATGGGAAGAGGTGAGGAGTCAACATTTTCCCCATTTTCTTCTTCGGACTTCACCTTCATTTCTGCTGAAAAGGGGCTCTAGCACCCTGAGGAAGTACTGTGGGCCACTGATCGTCAGACTCAGTTTAGCTTTTCAGTTGAGGCATACCTAGTTTCACTTCCTGTCAGCAAAATTTCCAGGACTGGGGAAGTTGTAACTACAACATGCAGAATTCCACCAGTGAGCTGGCACGGGCACTTTCAATGGAAAGGTATCATAGTGCTTGCCCTACTTTTGGACATCTATCAGAATGTGTCATGGGTCCAATAGTGGCTACAACTTTTTTCAAGAAGTTTCATATATCATTAAACATTTAGGATATCACCCAAGTGTTTTTTTGAATCAGACATTATCTGAATTTTTATAAAGATCAGTGTACAGTCATATGATGTTACTGAATACAACATTCAGAGTTGCAAGGATTGTTTGATTTTAATAAATTATAAACTCAACTTACTTTTGCTTCCTTTCATTTGCATAATGCCCTCATTCTCTATATATTTTATATTTATAGTGAGGGATATTAAACCAATACAGCCAAGGTAATATATGTTTTGTGGTCATATATGTATGTGCCATAGAGACTATAGGGAAAACAGGTACACTATCCTCATAGAAGAGAAAGGCCAATTAGGGGCTAAAGAACATTATTTAAAGGAAAATGGGAATACAGTGGTGTCCTCTTTGCACAGTCTACAGTTATTGAGGGCATTAAAACAATACCAATGTGTATTTTAATTGTAATGTCTGGGACATACTGCAAAACAATCGCTAAAACAGATAAAGGTTGAGTGTGTTTTCCTGTAAAAGAAGACATGACCGAAAATAGCATTATACAAAACGTGCTCCTTTCGAAGGTTTGTGGTTAGGTGCAGGAAGTCCTAGTTGGTTCTAACTTCTGTGGTTCTTAAGGCTTGGGATTTCTAAAAATGTTATAAGAATTGGTTTTCACCACAGTCATCACTATATATTATGCACAGGTGAGAAAATGGCCATAAAGAAGTAATCTACAGAGCTCATAAAATTACACCCACTGGGGGAATCCAGCGTTTTTGTTTCCAAAGGCATCCCACAGAGACACCTGCTGCCGCCACGCTGGTGAGCAGCTGTCTGGTTTCCTTCAGAACAGGCCCAGTGCAGGAAACAGCCTCTTAGGGTGTTAGAAGAGAGACCTTACACATGGGGACTTAAAGGTCACCAGGAAAACATGGCTCTCCCCCTGCTTCAAGAACAACCGTGCTTTTAGAAAAGTGGCAACTACAAAGCCATGCTTACCAATAATTGTGTTGCCTATGATCTGTCATAGTTTAAGTCATATTTTCCTTAAAAAAGCTTTTCATTTTTTTTCTTCTAAGTTTTTTCATAAATCTTTCAGGAATTTATTTTTTTTAAGTCTTTTTATTTATCTATTTGACAGACAGAGATCACAAGCAGGCAGAGAGGCAGGCAGAGAGAGGGGGAAGCAGAGAGAGGGGGAATACAGGTGTGTATACAGATGCGGGGTTCGATCCCAAGACCTGAGATCATGACCCGAGCCGAAGGCAGAGGCCCCAACCCACTGAGCCACCCAGGCGCCCCTCAGGAATTTATTTTTTATTCAATAAATTAAACATTAATTTTTAAAGAAGCACATCCATGAGATACAGGGAGGTATATGTGTAATACTAATATAATGAGAGATTACATATACCTAATGCGAGATACAGCTAAAGTAGGAGTTACAAAAAACTTCAGAACTCACCCTAAGGAGGAGTATAAAATGTTGTGTTAGAGCCACTAAGATATGACAGGTGGGATGTGCTATATGTGGGAGGCCATGGACTTAAGGATAATTTGAAGTCTGCAGTTATAGCTGGAGGTGCTAAGGGTCGCATTTAGGGTGCTGATACCTGAGCTGTTGTATGAAAATGGGGGACAGGGAGAAGGAAGAGTCAAGCATAGCATGGATGGCTCAATTTCGACTGTGGGTAACTGGCAGGAGAACAAAGGGGAAAAGACCTTCTGCCTATTAGGAAAGAGACTCTTGCCTATAAAATAAAGCTCCAGATGAAATCTCAAGAAAATTCCCAAAGCAACATAACAGGTTTTTCCAAAAGCAAAAGGAAGTGCGTCCTATCTACAGGTGTGTATTTGCAATGAATTATTTTACTAGAAAGATAGCTTGTCTTTATGCATAGGGGGACATACGGACAAGCATTTTATTCAACACTGTTGATGTGGAGTAGGAATAATATATAAAGACAGAAGCAAACTAAGCCTCAAACAAAACTATGTTTAAGTACAAATTCTCCATTATGTTTGACATCTGATTTCTCTTGGGGAGTTGAGTGTGGCTAGAAATCAATAAATGTGGATATTGTTTAAAGGGGTAAATTTCTTATTAGGTTGGAAGATTATAGTCTTGATCTCTTCTACTGTAGTTGCTAGGTCTGTCTCTAAAATTGTATGATGGGTTCAGGATCACATTAGCCTCTGGAAACTGTCATTTACATTCCATTAAAGCTGTTCTAGGCCAAGGAGAACAAAGCACTTCTTGGGCAGATTCAACCCTGCAGGCCAGGCTACTCCGTGGGAAGGGGAGGAAGGGGAGCAAGGAGTTGGAATTTAGGCTAGAGTTCAGGCCTCTCTCACTTCCTCAGTCCTTAATTCTTGGACAGGGCAAACTCTGTGTAACCACCCATGTCCACTGGACCTCAACACAAGCTGCATCAAACATGGCAGCATCAGTAGTCCATGCCCAACCTCCCCCCTGTTCCTGACCAATTATTATTTAGAGCAATATCTTTTTAAAATGTGGTTGGAGGAATCACCTAAGGATCTTGTTAACATGCATAATTCTAAGCCTTACCCTTGACCAATCGATTCTGAATTGTAGGATGTGGGGCCCAGGAATCTACTTCTTAACACATGTCCTATGTGATTCCTACACGGGCTTTTTCATGAAGTTTCTTAAAAGAAAAAAATAGCCTGTCTTATTTCTGTTGTAGTATCAATATCGGTGTATGGTCTGAGGCTCATACTTGGTATTGAGTAAATGTTTACAGAGCAAATAAAAAAAAAAAACCCAGAAACTAATAACTGTTATAAATAAAGCTAACCTCAAGGTCAGAATCACTTTTAAAATGATATGAAAAAACAACGCAAAACCCTTCTAATGATCTTACCTAAAATGAGAAAGCTTAGCATAACGCAAATTGACATTATTGGTGTCAGATGCTTTTAAGTGAATGTGCAAATATCATTGAATTACGTAGTTGGAAAAAATTTTTAATTATCATAGTTGTAAATATTAAAAATGATATTAATATGCTTAAATGTTAAACTAATGTTAAAATATGTTAATTACTTAAATACAAATTTTATCACATGATGGGACCAATTTTATTCTATGGAACACATTCCTTAAATTAAGAAAATAATTATGTGTAGACACACATACTTTTCAATAACATGACACTTAATTTTCTGTTTCTTATCCAAAGTGGTGATGGATTCCATAAGGAATTAACAAGTTTCTAGATGATGTGGCTAGGTGATCTTAGATTGGTTTGCCTATTTCTTTGGTAATAATCTATTCCTTTATTTCTAACACTGTCCATCAAGTAACTTCTAGATGTTTAAATATACAAACTGATATTCCAAAAGAATGTTATTTCCATCAATAAAGGAAGAGTAATTCTGATTTTAAGGTGTAAAACAAGTAGCTGCATTTTATCTTAGTCAGAAGAAAAAATACAATAGATATTAAATATTTCATCCTGGTGGGATTTTTTTCTTGCATTGTTCCAGAAGGTAATAATCTTCTCTGCCAGGTAACTTTCCACCTTCCTTATAATAGTTATTAAGTGAATTCTTTCTTAGTCATACATGTCTCTATACATACTCTTTTTTTTTAACCAAGAAAAGGAGGGATGTAGATATTACGTAATGACAAAAACCCTCTATACTTAGTGTTTCCTTGGACAATTTCTTTATCACTCTGCCATTGGGAATGTTTCTTATTTTTAGAATTCAGATACTGCTAGGGTGTTTTTTTAAATGTGTACAAGTAAAAGTAGAAATAACATATATGGATTTGCTGGTATCCCTAAGGCTGTCATATATCCTTGAAATGCACAGGTTAGGAGAAGGACATGTATGTATGTATGTATGTGTATGTATACATCTAATGACTTTAATATGCTTGGCTTTTTCAAAAAGTATTGAGAAAATGCTTCCCCAAACAAGACATCTTTATGGAAACATTCAAAATAATTCAAAACTAAGCATACTTTTAGAAATTAAACTGAAAATAAAACAGATTTTCCTCATGGTTTACATTCACAATAAATAAGTCAGAAGCTAATTTTCATAAGTTTTGGCTTCATAGTAGGATATCGAGTGATTTCTGATTTTATACCCTGTTTTGTCAAAATTATTTATATAGAGACCTCTACTTCTGAACACGATGGGCTAACAAAGATTGATTTTACCCCATTCTGGAAACAACCAAAGAATGAATGAAATACATAAGCAACAGATTTCGAGACAATAGATATTGGGCAAGAAGGGCAATGATCCCTGAGAAGTGGGAAATAAATGAGGTGACCATTAGGATTGCCTCAGGTTATCACACTAAAAGAGTTCACAGAATGCAGATAGGGGCACCCCAAACAGTGCCCAGTGAGCATGTCTGTGAGGAGACCTACAAGGAAAGAATCACCTTGCATGAGTACCAGTATGCCCATTCCCACCAGCCGGACTGGAAATCCTTCATTTACACTGCATCAGGTACTATACACAGACAGATCTTGCTTTCATTGTGGGGAAAAATTTGTGCTGGTTACAGTATTGCTATGAACCCAGCTCACAAACCTTAAAAGCAAGATCCAAAATGTCCATATTATTTCCAAGTAACTAAATCACAATATCTCTATACATTTATGAGAATAGTTAGAATTAAAAAGACTGGCCATCCTGAGGATTAGTGACTGTACGGAAGGCTGGAACTCTCACATACTGAGGTTGGGAATGTCAAGTGGCATAAATACTTTGGAAAACATTCTGGCAGTTTCTCAGAAGATTAAACAACCACCTGTCATATAATCTTGTCATTTTACTCTTGGGTTTTTACCCAAGAGAAATAACAGTGCCCGTCTATATGGAGATTTATAGACAAGTTTTCAGAGCAGCTTTATGTAAAACGGTAACTCAAAACAGCCCATGGGTCCATTAGCAGAGGAATGGATAGAAAAATTCTGGTATAGCTGTGTAATGCAGTACTATTCAGCAATAAAGAGAAATGATCTACTGGTAAGTGTTACAGCATGAATGAATCTCAAAATAACTGTGCTGTGAAAGGAGCCAGAAAACACACACACACACACACACACACACACACACACACACACACACCATACACTGTATGATCCCATTTACATAAAAGCCTAGAAAATACCAACTTATCTATTCAGAAAGTAGTTGGTTGTCTGGGCACAGGAGTGGAACTGGGGAGGGGTGGGAGGCTAGGATTACAAGAGGCCAGGAGGACAGTTTTGGAAGTGATTCCATATTCATTACCTTGATTGTAGTAATGGTTTCACAGATGCATATATAATGTCAAAGTGTATCAATTAATACATTTTAAGTGTGTGTATATTATATTTGTTAATTATACTTTAATAAAGCTGTTTTAAAGATGAACAGTAATCACTGTAAAATTCAGTTTCTCAAAGTTGTATGCACATTGGAATCACTTGGGAAAATTTAAAACAGACTGATGTCTAGGCTCTAAACCCAAAGGTACTGAGTTAATTATTTGCTCAAGTGTGTGGCTTGGGTTTCAGAAGTTTAAAAAAAAAACCCTTCAGGGGATTCTAATGGGCAGCAACCTGAAAATTTTAGTATGTTGTTTCTTTTTCTCTGTAAAATTAAAAGTATTGTAATGAGTGTCCGTGGAAGTTACAAACGTAATCATTAGTAATGGAAACCATCGTCTTCTCCTTAATAGAATCTAGCTGTCATTCCAAGTGGAAGTTTAGGTCTCTTATGACAGTGATCAGTTATAAAAGCACTGGAAGAACAAAATATTCAAATAAAAATGCACTCATTTTGTAATGGCGGCAGAGTGACGGACTAGTCAGTTGTCAATGTTATTGATTGTTGAAACTCTTGGGAACACTTAAGTTTGTTTGGAGGACATTTTACTATCTGCTTCTGAGAAAAAGTAGAGTTCAGGAAGGAGAATGTGAGGGTCCACACTTACCTTGGCGTAGATACAACTTTCGTTGAGTCTCTGCAGCGAACAGTTCTTGTCACAGAGAGGGCACATGAAGACTTCGGTGGCCTTGCAAATTTCTTGGCTTGAGAAACCAAAGAAGAAAAAGAAGGCATGAACCTCCACATATAAGAGGCGCTTAGCCCCTCTGGCTAATTCTGTGGGAAGTCGCAAGGCAGATAGGGAAAGAAGAAATGGACACAGTGGGAGTGATGAACAGGTAAGGAAGGATTTGTGTGGCTCCAACTCAAATTTTTAGGATATTTGTGGTAACAGAGATTTTCGTTTGCTTCTTTGTTTTTAGAAGTCTCTGCCAGGATACTGTAATGATAATAGGCCACACTTTGTACTTACGAGACACTTGTGGGACTTTGCTGCAAAGACAGTTAACACAGGATTTCATGGTACTCGAGATAATCTTGTGAAGAACACCCAAGGGAGTTTTAACCAAACTCACAGCTTGGAAATGGCTGAGCTGAACCAAATCTGAATATTCTGATTTCTCAAGTCTATCGACCTTTCTCCTGAATCTCACAGCTTTCAAATCACTAAAATGAACAGCATCCATAATTCACACAACTTCATAGCTCCCACTAGAGTCAATGGAGGAGACATTACGTTCACTGGAAAATTGAGGGGTTGATTTTTTTGCAGGGTCTTGACACACAGTCATGATGATAAGACAGTTCTTATTTACTTAATATGTATTATATTCTCTATGAGAATTAAATTGTCTAATATTTGTCTTTTCAGATGACTTTGTTATATGAGTTGGAAACCAATAACAATTTCTCAAAGGCTTCCCAGCCTGAGAGTTCACAGCAACATATTTTTAAAATGTTTTGTGCCTTTTTCTGTCATAAGTGTCCCTTTCCCACTTAGTAACCTCTAAAAAATGCTCTTTAATTAAATCTGCTTTGGAAATGTTGAAAGTAATTTAAAGGCTTTTGAAAATATATCTGGAAATACAGCTGCTTAATAAGTAATACAAGTTTAATTGTCAGTGTTTACAGCATGATTTACTGTTTTCAAAAATACATATACTCAAATGAAGCAAAAAACAATGTATATGAATTTCAAATCTCACTCCAAAGCAGGAATAAATAGTAAGTAATAATACCATATAGTAATACAGCACTTTAAAATGGGCAAAGGTGGTTTCATGTCCGTTAAGTCTGGTCCACACTGCAATCTCCTGCAATGGTACTTGTCTCCAAAACTAAGACGAAACTGACGATTAATTTAAGTAATTTGCTCAAGGTCATACAGCTAACAACAAGTACCTTAGGGACCCAAGTTTAGGTTTTTGTGATTTTAGGTGTAGTTCCCCATCAACTGTAACATATCTAAAAGAGAAAGATTTATTTCATATTAAAAGCAACTTTCCAATGAAGGGAATTAAGAGTACACTTCTCATAAAAAGCTCTGAGTAATGTATAGAACTGATGAATCTTTTTATTGTACACTTGAAACTATATTACACTGTCTGTTAATTGTACTTGGGGAAAAAAAAACCCTGGCAAATAAAAAACAAAAAAAATAAAGGAACTTTCCTATAAAATTAGTTTATTAATGGTGATGATAATCTTAAAGGTCTAATACTGTAATTCTCCAATTCTCACAGACATCATCCTGCTAGTAATCAGGACATTTATATGAAGTAGAAGAAAAGCAAGTAAAACACTCATATTAAAAGATCAAAAAAGAAAAAAATGATTATACCGCCTCGTAGTTTTACCATTAATTTGTAGGAACAAAAATTAACAGGGCCCTTGAAGGAAATTTTGATTAAAATTTCATAATTCACTCTGTTTCAAGAATGACACAATGTGTCCTACATTGAAATCTCATACTACACAGTGTTAGAGTCACTTTATACCACATCATTTTTTCCATCTCCCACACGGTCAAAGGAATGTACAAACCTATCAAAGCACCATGTCTATGATCCCACGCCATTAGACTGAGTCCTATTTTTTGATTCCAGAATTATTAAGCTCATTTTCTATAAGTTGTTCAAAGTTCAATTTGATATGTAACAAAAAAAAAAATAAACAACTTTTAACAACATATTTTGTAGTCTAAAAAAGGAAGTGAATACTATCACAAATTTCTTTGACTTAAGTTAACCACTAGAGGGAGAGGAAGTGTACAGCCTGTGTTTCTTCATTTCGTTTTCACAGCCTGATAATACAAACTGCCACTTCAATTGTGGCTTTCTTTCCTTTTATGTCTATTAGTAGATATACACATCAAGGGCTGATTCGAAGGAAATAATAATTACCACCAACTTAAGATAATGGGAGTAGGGAGTGATTTGTCCGTTTGGGAGTAGATGGCTGGACCTGCTCCCAGATCTTGATGTTTCCTGTGATTCTGTTAACATGACAAAGCACAGAAGAGGATGCTTGGTGATGTCTATTTTGAGGAAATGTGAAACTGTGAAAGTGGGCTTAAGGGAAGGCAGTATGAAAGCATGAGTAAAACGTGATTTTAGAATCAGATATAGTCATCAGGGAAAAGTAAATCAAATCACAAGATATTACTCTATATCTGTTAGGATTGCTATTACTAAAAAAATCAAAACAAACATAACATGTGTTGGCAAAGATGTGGAGATTTTGGGAGATTTGCACATTGTTGGTGGGACTATGAAATGGTGCAGCCACTATGGAAGGCAATATGGAGGTCCCTCAAAAAATTGAAAAATAGAACGACCATATAATCCAGCAATCCCACTTCTGGATATATAACTAAAAGGATAGAAACTAGGATCTAGAAGAGATATCTGCACTCCCATGTTCATTGTATTGAATGAACCTGGAGGACATTATGCTAAGTGAAATAAGCAGGCACAAGACAAATTATGCATGATTTTACATATATTAAGTGTTTAAAATAGTCAAATTCATAGAAACAGGATAGAATCATGGTTGCCAGAGGGTAAGGGAGGGGGGAATTGGGAGTTGCTATTCAATAGGTATAATGTTCCAGTTATACAATATGAATAAACTTTAGAAATCTGTTGCGTGACATTGTGCCTGGAGTTAACAATACTGTAGTGTGCACCTAAAAATGTGTGGAGGGTAAATCTAATGTCAAGTGTTCTCTACACAATTTTAAAAAAATCCAATAAAGGTTTAAAATTTAGGGCGCCTGGGTGGCTCAGTGGGTTAAGCCGCTGCCTTCGGCTCAGGTCATGATCTCAGGGTCCTGGGATCGAGTCCCGCATCGGGCTCTCTGCTCAGCAAGAGGCCTGCTTCTCTCTCTCTCTCTCTCTCTCTCTCTGCCTGCCTCTCTGTCTACTTGTGATCTCTCTCTGTCAAATAAATAAATAAAGTCTTTAAAAAAAAAAAAAAGGTTTAAAACTTAGCTGACCACTTACTACATACATTCCCTGACCAAGTCACTTACCTCTCTGAGGATCAATTTCTTCATCTCTAGATGGAGATAATATCTAACTGGGGTATTACATAAGGGATATTGATACTGTGCCTGGAACATCATAGGCACTAGACAGACTTCATTGCTAAGGATGTTGTCAGGAGAGGGTTAGAGAAGTCCTTTATGACTCAACAGATTTTTGTGAAAAGCAGATCTGATGCTGATGATAACTTAAATTTCTCAGGGAGTTCTAATGGCAAAGAAGAAAGAATGGACCAGAAAGCTGGGGCTTCTGTTCTTTACCTTAGACCTGGAAAACCATTTGATCTGCCTGCTTGTTCATTTTCATATTCCTATGATATGTGCCAGGTGAACATCTGACCACATTTGGTTAGGTAAGACCAATGAACACATGTAAATACACATATGCACATATTCATAGAGTAATAATCTACAACTTGATTGCTGCATAGTTCTACAATTAACTACAGGGCAATTAAGAAATATGACCTTAGTTTACATGAACATAGTTGATAGAAACATAATAAACACAACCTAATCTTCAGCTTTTAAGCATATTGTTACCTTGTAATAAAAAAAGAGCTTAATAAAATAATTCTAAAACAAAGCAATGCTAAATAAAAGCCCTGTGTCCTCCCCTGACCTGTCATGACAACACCTACAACTTAGCCATGACGTAACTGTGTCTGACACCTTGAATAGAAAATTACAATCCCATGAAATTTTGAAAGTCAAGATATTCAGTGATGCTTATCTTGGTTTAGAATAGAACGTCTGACAAGATGTTAATTATAGTGTGACAGAGTAGCAGTAATATAATACCATAAAGCACTGAAGAAAAGAGTTTGCTAATACCTTTTAAAACACTCCTTGTACTAAAGGTACTTACATGCAAAGAGCCTAATTTACTTCGTTGGTACATAAATCAATAGGAATGGCAAACTTATTCCTTTCATTGCCTTTTGTTCATTTTCGGCTTTGTAGAGGTAGAGGAAGGAGTCTACATCACACAGTAAAACTTTGAGAATATGTTCTCCACAGAACCAACTTGAACAGTAGCTACCCATCTAAGAATGATTTTATGTCTCCATCAGTTCATTTTAAAACAGTGTTTTCCCCAGATTTCTTCACATTCTGTTTTCCCTCCCTTTCCCTATAGAAGAAATCAGAGAGGTAGACAAACCATGAGAGACTCCTAACTATGGGAAAGAAACTGAGGGTTGCTTGAGTGGAGGTGTGTGGGTGGGAAAGTGCAATAGATAGGGCATGTGATGTGATGAGCACTGTGATACGCGATTGACGAATTACTGAATTCTACATATGAAACTGATGTACTATATGTTGTTTAATTGAATTTAAATTTTAAAAATAAATAAATAAAAATTTAAAAAAATAAGTGTGGTTTTCTAAGACCTTGAAGACTACCAAAAACACTGTTAGAACTAATCAATGAATTCAATAAAGTTGCAGAATATAAAATCAATATACAAATATCAGTAGCATCTCTATACACTAACTATCCAAAAGAGAAAAAGAAAACAGTTCCATTTACAATTGCACTAAAAAGAATAAAATAATTAGGGCTAAATTCAACTGACAAGGTAAAAGATCTATGTATTGAAAACTAAGACATTGATGAAAGAAATTGAAAAAGACACAAATAAATGGGAAGGTATTTTGTGCTCATGGATTGGAAGGAATAATACTGTTGAAATGTCTATGTTACTAAAAGACATCTACAAATTCAATGCAATTTCTATCAAAATGTCAATGGTATTTTCTCAGAAATAGAAAAAGCAATCCTAAAATTTGTACAGAACATAACAAATCCTAAATAGCCAAAGCTATCTTGAGAAAGAAGAATAAAATGGGAGGCATGATACCTCCTGGTTTCAAATAACATTATAAAGCAATAGTAATCAAAACAGTATGGTATTGACATAAAAACAGACCCATAGATCAATGGAACAGAATACAGAACCCAGAAACAAACCCATGTATATGTGGTCAATTTTTGACAAAGAGGCCAAAATATACGATGGAAAAAGGATAATCCCTTCAATAAATGGTATTGGGAAAATTGGATATCCACATGTAAAAGAACGAAACTAAACTCCTTTCTTATACTATATGTAAAAAATTAACTCAGAAGGGATTAAAGACTTAAATTTAAGACCAAAACCATAAAAATCCTAGAAGAAAACATAGAGGGGATAAATTCTTTGAAATTGGCCTTTCCAACGATTTTTAGTATTTGACACCAAAAGCAAAGGCAACCAAAGCAAAAATAAACAAGTGAGATGGACTGCATCAAACAGAGCAAAGAAACCCACCAACAAAACAAAAAGACAACCTAGAGAATGGGAGCAAATACTTATAAAACATATATCTGATAAGGGGTTAATATCCAAAATATATAAAGAAGTCATACAATTCAGTAACAGAAAAATAAGCAATCTGATTTTAAAAATGGGCAGAGAAACTGAATAGATCTTTTTTTTGTTCAAAGATCTATAAGTCAACAGGTACATAAAAAGATGACCAACATCATTAATCATCAGCATAATGCAAAACAAAGTCACAGTAAGGTATCACCTCATACCCGTTAGGATACCTATAATCAAAGCCCTGCTGATGGGAATGTAAATTGGTGCAGCCACTATGAAAATTAGTATGGAGGTTCCTCAAAACATTAAAAAACAGGATTACCATATGATCCAACAATCCCAGCTCTAAGTGTATATCCAAAGGAAATGAAAACAGGATCTTGAAGTGGTATTGGCATTCCTATGTTCATTGTAGCATTACTTAACAATAGCCAAGCTATGTAAACAACTTAAGTGCCCACTGATGGATGAATGGATGAAGAAGATGTGGTATGTGTGTGTATATACACACAAATAAAACAGGATATTAAGCCATGAGAAAGAAGGAAATCCTGCCATTTGTGACAACATGGATGGACCCTGAGGCTATTAAACTAAGCGAGATAAGCCAAAGAAAAAATATTGTATGGTATTCCTTTAAAGTGAATCTTTTAAAAAGCCAAATTTACGGCACCTGGGTGGCTCAGTGGGTTAAAGCCTCTGCCTTTGGCTCAGGTCATGACCCCAGGGTCCTGGGATCGAGCCCCACATCAGGCTCTCTGCTCCACAGGGAGCCTGCTTCCTCCTCTCTCTCTACCTACTTGCGATTTCTGTCCGTCAAATAAATAAATAAAATCTTTAAAAAAAAAAGCTGAATTCATGGAAACAGAATTAAAAAGTAGTCAAAAAAAGTGTTTTTCTTTTCAAGACACACTATAACTTCAAATCACAACCTGTTTTCTTAGCCTCAGAAGTTACTGATTTAACAGCCTACAGAGAAATGCCCAAAGAGGGATGGGTGTTTCCACTGGGTACAAGTTTGTTTAGAAAGATACTGCCTTCCAAAGTGGTAGTAAGTTTGCAAAACTCTGAAATAAACCTATGACTAGATGAAATGTGTTTGAACAGTAGGTGTTTCTTTGTTTTCAAACTAATTACCATTTGGCGTTCATGGAGGGCAAGGGGATACTAAGATACCAATCAAGGTTGCTGGTTATGGAACTGGATTTAACTCTAGGACAATGGAAGTATTTCATTTTCAGGCAAATTGTTAACTGTACATATATTGTATATATATTAATTTAGAGAAAACTCAAGGAAATTACTTTTATGATCCTGTTAACTGCCATGATTACTACCCAGTAGTAAGGTCATGGTTAAAAGATGGACCACAGGAGAAAAAAGTGCTGAGCTTTAAAGGAGGGGAGAAGTGTTTTTCATGTTTTGAATTACATCATACAAGCCTGAACTTGGTGATATCCTTGTATAGATTAAATAAAACATTTATTATGAGGATTCATTAATGCCCGGGGGTGAGCCTTGGATATGCTGAATAATAACGTATCATTCCTCCACCCAAATCTTGAGTCATTTCAACTTTAACAGTAGAATCACCATTCTCATAAATGCTTGATTTTCGTCAAACCTTATTTTACTACCATCTTGATACCGTAAGTTGATACTAAAATACTTATTTGTTCTTATAGAGAAAAAGAAGAAAGTAAAAAGTGATTTTATGTTTTCAGGAGAGAAGATTGCTTAGAGCAGGATTTATGTCCTACAGATATTTTGTTCAGACATCTCTAACCACATAAGGTTCCCTCATCTGCAAAGAGGAATACTCGTCTCCAAGGGTGGTAAAGTTCCTATCAAATGAAAAAACAAGAACATTATTGGGAAGCTCTTTGTATATTTTAAGTGCTTAAAGAATTGTAGTTATTTTTTAAAAAAAAAATTATTTATTTATTTGACAGAAGTCACAAGTAGGCAGAGAGGCAGGCAGAGACAGAGAGGAGGAAGCAGGCTCCCCGAGGAGCAGAAAGCCCGATGTGGGGCTCCATCCCAGGACCCTGGGATCATGACCTGAGCCGAAGGCAGAGGCTTTAACCCACTGAGCCACCCAGGCGCCCTCAAGAATTGTAGTTATTTTGATTATCTAAACTACTGTAGTGAGAGGGCATTCTAGACTACCAAATACTATGGAAATGTAAATTATATAAAACTACCATTGCATTGTTGAATTATTAAGTGAGATATAGTGGAAAGAGAAATTTTGCATACAGAGAAACAGTCTTAGAACATATCCAAGAAAATCTGCATATAAAAATATGGAAATGGCCTTTTAAAAATAGTGCTTTTCTCTTCTCCTCAAAAAATCCCAGCAAATAAATTATAGAACCATGAGTTGTTTTTCATAGTCAGCATTATCATAAAGCTTTGCCAATCAGAATAAAGGCCAATACGTTTTAAAAAGTATTATTATTAGCTGTTAATAGCTTACCTTACTTGACTTCCATTCATTGTAAATATTCCATAGAAAAACACACACAAGCCAACAAGTGCTGCAGGAATCAGCATTCCAGTGTACCATCCCAGCCAAGCAAAGTATAGCCCGATCTTCTCACCAAAGTACAGCCTGCACAAGAAAGCAAACCCTTAGTTTAAGGCAACATAAGCAACACTGCAAATGTTGCTGTCACACCTAGTCAGAATTTCAGAAGGACATACCAGCTCAGTTCCTCATCAGTTTCAGGGTATCTTGACATTCCCACTTGTTAGTGAATCCAACAATGGTGATGCTGTTCATCTTTAAACATTGTCATTATGGGGGCAATTTTAAAAAATGTATTCTTTCTGAGTCAAACTTCTTAACAAGGTTCATAAACTTTTTATAAGCCAATTCTTGCCTTTCTCCATCCTCCCAGTAAAATGTCTTTTTGTTTTCCACACACAGAACCGTGCTACACCATACTGCTTTTGTGTAAATTAGAAAAAAGTCTTCCCTGTAGGTAGATGTTGAGAGTAGATTCGATTTTAGTTTCCATCTGCACCCTTGGCCAGATGCCCTTATGCTAGACACAGTCATGTCACACCTTCCTCAACAAAGTTAACTGCAGTTCCTGGAGCACATGATTCTTTCCTTGGTCAATGCTGCTCCCTTACTTTGGAAAATTACATTTCATCCTCTTCCCTTGTCTGGCTTGTATGCATCCTTCACTTTACATCACTTCTTACAGGAAGCCTTTCCTGACTTCCACTGCTACCCTTGCTTAGATGCCCCTGATCTTGCTCCCATACTGCCCTCACCCATATTTCAATGTCCTAAACTTATAACCCTTTATGACAATTAACCTGTCACTCTTCCATTCCTCTCTCTTCCCATAAGACTTCAAGTGCCTGAAAGTAGACTTGTGTCTTCTTCACCAGCACCCACCACAGGGAGTAGTGAATGAAGCTAAGGAAATGGATTTTTTTATTTCCCTTGAGCTGATAAACATAATTTATATGGAAATGGCAGATGAATAAGACCATTCTAATGACTACCCAATTGCTCTTTCTTCACCCAGTCTACTGATCATATCAACTGCTACGCAGTTTATAAAGCTCTGGTAAGAAATAATAATTTCTTGAATTCTCTATGACTGTTTGGTCTCCATCTTCTAAAAATGGTTACTTAACACAGTTTTGTCCAAGGGATATTTTAAAAATTGGTGTTTTATAGTTCATTTAGGAATATTGCACTGGGCAGTGATTCTTGCTAGAAGAAAATTCTCTTGGTATTTTTTTCTGGGACAAGACAATTCTCTTGGTATTTTTTCTTCCTGAAAATAATTCTTTTTCTACATCACTCTCTGTATTGTGCCAATTAAAATTTTGCATATTTAACCAGGTATAGAAATAGAGTCATCTTTCATTTATCCAAGTTTTTGTTTTTTTCATTGATTTCTCCTTGGAGACATAGATCAGTAGACCATTCACATCTCATACAACAATAACGTTCTAGTTGAGACAAAAGCTTATCATAGTAACAGGTATTTCAATAAAGCCATTTGTTCCTTTTAAACAAGTGTTCCTCTGTGAAGTAGAATAGGTTTTTGCATATATTACTAATATAAGGAAATGTCTTTATAATAATGACTACAGAGGGCGGCACAGACAACCCCCTTTAAATAGGCAGCATTATACTGAGATTTTAAATTATATACTGTTGAAGGTTAAGGGGAACAACAATATTGTTTGACAGTAGTTTAATCACCTAAGTTTCAGGAGATTTAGATCTGATTAAGGAAGATAGAGAAGCTAGTTCCAGGCCAAGGAAGCTGAGGGAAACCCCCTTGACCTATAGTGCTGGTATTCATAATATTCTAGGATCTCTAGAGGAATCTCAAAAACCATGCCAAGGCAGGGAGGAATTGCTAGGTTGCTACTGGGGTCACTCTTCACTACACCCATAACCATTCTCTTTTTATCTGTTTTATATTTTGGTAATGAGCAAGTTCCTGGAGAGCAGGAACATGCTGGAGTGTCATCTATATTCTTTTATGGCTTTCATCTTGGGTAGGCCCTTCATCTCCTCCCTCTCTTTTTAGCCACTTGAACACAAAATATATAATTTCCGTAAGCAAAGCTTCCCTTCTATGTCAATAGCCAAATAATTGGTAATAGTAGCCACAGAACCCCAATTATTGAAAATAAAGGTTGCTTACTGAAATTATCTGAAGCTGTAATAGCAATGCGTCCAATAGATAAGAGAATTATTGACACTGAAATGTTTGCTTGAAAACAGCAATTTAATTTTAGTTCCTAATAATAAATGTGATTCTGTGAGTTAGCACATCTCACTGTGTTCACATATCTCTAAAATCACAATTCTTTCCCCTCTCTTTCTCTCTAAATAAATAATAATAATAATAATAATAATGGGGTGCCTGGGTGGCTCAGTTAGTTAAGTGTCCACTCTTGAGTTCAGCTCAAGTCATGACCTCAGGGTTGTGAGATTGAACCCCACTTTGGGCTCTGAGTTGAGTGAGGAGCCTGCCTAAGATTCTCTCTCTCTCTTCCTCTGCCCCTCACCACTGCTCACTCTCTCTCTCTGAAAACAAAACAAAATAATTTTTTCACCTGCACAAATAAGAATCTGATAATTTATTGTGATTAACAGAATTAGAATCAAAGCATCTTGATTTTGGATATGCCCAAGTACTTAATGTCTGAAATGGTTTGGTGCTGGATATTATGATTTGTATATCCAGATCATGTCCTATCCTTTTCCTTTCTGCCCTATGCCCCAGGAGGCTCACCTTCATGAACTGTAGCTCTCATGCTCTTTCTTTCTTCTGCCTTCCTGAGGGGTTTTTTGGATAACTGATGGTACTAGCAGGAGATCACAGAGTGAGATCTAAGAGATATTGGTGTATTGATTATCCTGACTTTCTCCTTCTTGGAGAATGATCTGCCCATAGCTGCTTTCCTTCTAAGACTGTAACTACTGTCAGGCATCCCCCATTTTTGTTTTTGACAGGTTCTACCAACTGTTCCCTCCCCCTGTTCCTCCAGGCCAAGGTTTGATAAAGAGCATCTAATTTTTACTTGTCCCTAGAAGCTTCATCATCATTATCCATTTGCTCCCTTGATACTACTTACACTTCTGCATATACTTCTTTTATTAGATTTTCTTCTGACAGCCTTTCTATTCTATCAGTTCTATCAGTTTCCTGCTGGGACAATGCTGACAGTTATAAGTTATTCTTGATATTTACATTTTATAAACAGTTCAAAGTATCAATATAGATAAACTCATGGATGCTCTTTTTTCATTCATTCTAAGAATATTTATAGTTAGCTAGACACTTGATTAGGTCATTTTTAATATGTATTTCCTGGTATTTTTTTAAAAGAACAAATTATCCTCCATCAAAATTAAATAAATCATGAATATAACAGTGTCTGGAGATTAACTGAAATTGAAAGCAGTTACTCACTAGAAATGTGCTTCTTGGAATAGAATAGATACTCACTAAATTCTTGGTTGAAATAAAAATATATGTATAGATGCTGTGTTGGTCATTTTCCTTTTTCTCTCAGATCCATGTTCTGCCTTTCCCTATTTTGGTTTGTTTCACTGGGAAGTAGATTACACAGGTTCCATTGTAAATTGCTCCTGGTTAAGTTGGATAAGGAGGTGCTGGAAGACTCAAAGATAGAGGGAGGGGGGATCATTCCTTCTCGCTTGGTTATCCTCAGGGAAAAGTGGTCATACCTTCTCCAACACTTTACTTCTCTGTGGACAGTCCTAGTCATGGATGGTATAGCTCCTGGCCAATGGCCCAGGTAGGGGGTCTCTGGAATATACTTCATCTCATTTTCCTTCCAACCTCAGGATTGTTAGCAATCTTCTGCTGTTATTAATCTCTGGTTGCCTCACTATTCCTCTCTGATTTCTCAACTTTGTCATCCACTGTATAACCAAAGCCCTAAATTAAGTTTCTTTTATTGAAAAGACCTACAGTGGCTTCTTTTTCCCTGACTACATCCTGAGTAATACAGATGATTTGGTGAGCGAATGAGGTAATTCCAAATCTAGGAAAATGACAAGAGCACAGCATACTATATCTTTCATTATCAATCCACCCACATTACCTGATTAAATCCAGGGGCTGATGCTTATACCACATTCCCCAGCGTGCCCAGCGCTCATATAATAGATGTCTATTATTCTGAGGTCCATGCGTTTTGATGGGTTGGTTACTTTTGTAGGCTCCCTGAAACACATAACCAAAGATAAGTTCCCTTAGTAAATATGAACTAAACAAGAATTGCTTTTACTATTTTTTCCTTACAGAACAATTTAGTAGCGTATTGAAAGCTGCAGATATGTAAGCTTAAGCCCATCACTGGAATGATGTAGTAAATGCCTTTATATATCTCCTCTTCATTGAAAATATACTGATAATTCTTTAAAAGTCCTTTCTTAAAGTCCCTTTTTAAACTAATGAAATCCCTTTCACTTAAAGTAAACTAGAATTTAGGTTTTACTGTTTGTAACCTAAGATCTTTTAATAAACAATATCTCATCACCATCACTGAGGGAAATAGTTGTAATCCTTATTTCAGAAATTAAGAGTATTATTCTACTTTAAAGAAGTGACTCAGTCCCAGGAAATATTTCTTTTATTTACAGAAGCTAAAGAAGAAAGTAAATGCTCAATCAAAAAGTGTAAGAAGCCTAAGTCACAAGTGCTAATCAAGTTTTTAAATTCTAGAATCCTTAGACCTTACTTTGGATAATATATTCCAAAAATGGAAACATTTTCAAATTCTTTATATCTCCCCTCAAAAATTGTCATACAGATTGCAATTATAGACACATAGAATATATATGCCTGATAGAGGAAGAGCTTTGATTTTATAATCAAAAAGGAGGGGAACAAATATGGTTACTATTTTCTAAACCAAAACTTAGGACAGAATTTGACAAACTCCCTCTTATTCCAATGTGTGATTCTACTTTTATAAACCGTTTAATGAAATTTAAAACAAGTGGAGTTATGCCTTAGTTTCCTTATGTAGATGATGAGAGTAAGAATCAGTTTAATGATTTCCACCATAGGGAGGTTTTGTGAGGGCCCACCTGCACTATAAAGTGCTGGGTACATATAAGTCAGTGTTAGTTAATTTCGTTTCTGATACAGTGTGGCCATTGAAAAGCAGAAAACTGTCATTTGAGTGATCCCAGACAACCAGAGATGTGAGTTCTTATGAAGAAAGAACACCCTGAATCACAGTGCACCAGGCTGAAAGGAGACACATATGTGGATTTCACTCTGTGGCTTCCTAATGAAATAGATAAATTAATTAGGTAAAGATGGAAGTACAGTTAAAGTGCTGATGGGTTCAAGGCAGGCTGCCCCAGAATGTGTTACTTTGGCATGTAGATTATTTCTAAGTTGAAAACAATTAATGACCAATAAACTCAAGAAGAGTTTTTTACCTAACCTCTTACCTGCTCAAAATAATTTAGATAGGAAGCCTAGAAGAGTAAGGAGAATTATTACCAAAGATAACTTTTTTACATAAGAAATACTTATCTGTATGACATGGCAAACATTTGTTCACCCAACATTTGCTCTTCCAATGTCCTGTGAATTATCTCCCTCCTAGACCCCTGCCTTCTTCTTAGCTCAGGACAGCATATAAACCTCAATTCCTGATTGCTGGAAGCTTCTCATGTCTTTGTGGGGATCTGTATATGTGTAATTACATTTGCTTTTCTTCTATTAACCTGCTTTATGTCAATTTATAAGGTCGGTCAAAGAACCCTAAAGGGAAGAAGAGAAAAGTTTTCCTCTCCAAGTTTTTAAGTCCAAGTTTTCTTCCTTAAGAGATCAAGGCTTTTAAAGCCTAAAGATTAGAAGTTAAGGAGATAAAAGTAAAGATCAAGATTTCAAGCATGGGCATGTCTACCTGGGAAATGTCTGTTTGCTTGTCCAGCTGGACTGATCTGTTAGGGTAGACTGCCTGAGATTGGGTAAGTAAGGGAAGGTGAACCAAAATCTCAGCTTTCTTTCAGTCACTAATGATAATCTTTCTAAAATACCTGACTTTGCTTCCCAGTCTCAGTGGGCAGACACAGGCACATCCTCGGTCTTAGGGTCTAAGCTTAGAAACCCTAGTAGATCATTGTTCTAATTCTGCTCAAGAACCTCAACCGTACTGTTCTGGGTTGACAGTGACACCTGGTGGCTTTAAGAGATAATTGCAGTGATGACCCCTGTTGGCCCACGTGTTTCCATGTGCACTCAGTGACCACCCCTCCACATCCTCATGATCAGTCCCCTACTCCAACCAACAGAGAAGAATAAACAGGACTATTATTTACAACCTATCCCAAATAGGTTCTAAATTTCACACAAGAAAATGTCAAACGAACACAGACTAGTTATATAGACGAAATTACTCACAATAAGAACAAACCGTAAAAGCTCTCCCAGGGCCTTAGATTTGCTAGTCTGAACACGGTACCACTTACCAACTATGTCAAATCTGACATCGTGGTTAATTTCTCTGAGCTTTATTTCTGCATCTCTACAATGAGAAAACAATATCTATCCCTCAAGGATTATTTTCAGATTAATGGAAAAATACATGCACAAGCCCTGTTGCATGAAATAATCCAAATATTACTCATTATTATTATTCCCATTCCTACAGTAAGTAAGATATTCATAGCACAAGGAATAGATGAATTGGGGTCTGGCTTCCTGGGCTCTAACCTGTGCCTTTGACTCTTAATTTTTCTGTGCCTCAATGATCTAGCTATGACACAGGGCTATTATTATTGTCTCTCTCAAAGGGTTGCCCTAAGGATTAAATGAGATTATCCATATAAAACACTTAGCTCAGTGCCAAATAGGAAGTACACAATGTATTTTATCCTTTAAAAATTTTACTAGACTGGGATTCTTCAGGTATAGGGGTTATACCTTTTGAGTCCTCAGTCTTTATAAACAGAAGTGATGGGTTCTGAGATTGCTGACCTCAAACCTCTAAAGATCCCCTTCTTATTTTAAAATGTGAACTTGCCTTAAACAGAATATATTGTGTGTGTGTGTGTGTGTGTGTGTGTGTGTTGGGAGACGATGTTCAAAACTAATTCAAATGTCATTCATGACTCAGTAGGCAGAACTCACCACAGTCTGGAGCAGGTGTTTCTAATTTAAAATTGGTAGACAGGTAATAACTTGGCTGAGAATTAAGTAAATAATGGGGTGTAGGTTTGTGTTGTGGGTTTGTCTTAGATTTTCAGACATCTCAAAGTAGTAGGCACAAACCAGAACTTGCACTGTTTGAGAGTGGTGTGGATCCCAAGGTGGGTCAAGCCTGGAACTCTGTTTTGAAGCAGAGGGCGGTGGTCAGAGTGATTGAACCATGTCCCCAAGTTCCCTCCAAGGCTGGGACTCCTTACAAGGGAAAAACTGCACTAGGGAATTGTCCTGGAGAGCACTGGGCCCAGTGTGTAACCAGAGATCATAATGGGGTCTGAGAAAGGCCCAGAGCCACTGACTGACTGAATCCTCCTGAGAGAGGGCGGCTAGATTTTAAAAATAAATAAATAAAATAAAAGAAGGATCAACAATGAGCATGAGAAACTTCTTTCCCCCAATGGAAACTGTATTTCAAAATTACCTCGTGAGGGGGGAAAGCTGCTATATATGAGCCATTGTTTATAAGTTTACAGATACCTGGAAAGAGAAACAAAAGAACAGTTTTTTAGTCAGTTCAAATGAAGACTTCCCTCTGTAGCAACATATATAAATTTGGGAGAACAAATTAATTTTAAAAACTTAAAATAACCCAAATAACACCCATAGCCACATCACCTCTGAAGACCGAGGGCTATGAAACAGATTGGTACTAAAGAGTCTATTTGTATTCTTACAACATGAATCAATGGAGATTTGTAAGGTGCCAACACACGGCACTTTGCCGTATCCTGGAATATGAGGCATTTTAATACCCATTTATTTGGGATCACATGAACCTGGAGCAAATATTTTTTTCTGCCCCAAAACAACAACATTTGGGGTGCCTGGGTGGCTCAGCGGGTTAAGCCTCTGCCTTCAGCTCAGGTCATGATCTCAGGGTCCTGAGATCGGGCCCTGCATCGGGCTCGCTGCTCAGTGGGAAGCCTGCTTCCCCATCTCTCTCTCTCTGCCTGCCTCTTTGCCTATTTGTGATTTCTCTGTCAAATAAATAAAATCTTTAAAAGAAAAAAAAAGAAAAAAAACAACAATATTTGGTCAAGAAAATAGAGGAACTCTCCACCCACAAAATGTCTCTAAATGATATTGGTTTTGAGAAGTCTTTAATTAATACTGAGCCAAGGAGACATAAGTATCAATATGTGACACTTCTTAAAATCTCTTCCAGCTCAGCCGGAGTGTAGTGAAATGGGCATTCTCATATTGTCCCGGCAAGACTGGGAAACTTCTGGAGAATAATTTTTGTTACAGTTTTACTTATGTTAGTAAAGAATAAGAAATAATTGTATATCCAAAAATGGGGAATCATTTAATTATCATGGTACAATCAATTATACTAGGTACTTGGTAGATAACTGCAATTTGATGAATGCTTATAATAGAATCTTGTACAGCTATTTATAATGTTTACAGACATACCAAAGGGCTTGAGAAAACACTCATAAATACTTTTTAAAAAAGACAAAATTGTAAACACTTCGTGATTCTAATAATGATGTGTATATACATCATATTCAACACAACATTATTAGAATCATGCAGGTTTACTATATATACATTCAGTATTAATGTGTGAGAGTGACAACTGAGTTTGTGGATTTTTAAAATTGTTTTTATTTTATTTTTTAAAATATTTTATTTATTTATCTGACAGAAAGAGAGAGAGATCACAAGTAGGAAGAGAGGCAGGCATTGAGAGAGGGGGAAGCAGGCTACCCACTGAGCAGAGAGCCCGATTCGGGACTTGATCCCATCAGCCTAAGATCTTGACCTGAGCTGAAGGCAGAGGCTTAAGGCACTGAGTGACCCAGGTGCCCCTAAATTTTATTTTTATACTCTTTGTGTTTATTGTATACTCTAAAAAGGGCATGATATCTTTACAGTCATTTGAAATGTCATATTTTTATTTTTAAAGACTATGTAAGCACATAACACTATCACTTACACACATTTTTATTTTACATTCTGGGTTTATTTTTATGTCTTATTTGGAAAACTAAGTGTTTTATTGGAAGGCTGAAAAATAGAATGTTTAGAATTTGTGTTCAATGCGTTATATCCTCATATTTAATGAATGAAGGCAAAGCTTCAAATGTGAAAATAAGTATTTCTGGATATAATTAGTAACAGCAAATATTACCTTCTCTATATTTTTAATTAGTGTTCTTACCCACTTTTGATATTCCATTTTCATATTTCGTGTGCTGTAACATGTGATAGACTATCCTGCTTCGAGTAGCATTGCTGAAGAATGTGTCCTTATTGTTTATTATGAAGCTGTTAAGATAAGGGGATTGGTTTTAATATTCAAAGCAGAGCCCAGAGTCCAGCAACAGTTACAAGTTTCTAGGTAGTCATCCATCTGTTTTCTCCAATAAAACTAATGCATGAGAAATACAGTACATCAAAAGACAAACCATCCTTTTAAAAATAAATCAACTGGCAGAGACAAAATACATTTATAAATAATACAGGCATTATCAAATATTCATTTAAAAATCTTTCAGTTTATAGGGGAGCCTACATGTCCTCTTATTTCTTGTTTAGCATGAAACAGGGACAACAGCATTAAATTGTCCGTTGCCTCCCATAAATTCTGTACTACCTTAAGCAATGTAATTCCAAATAGAACACATTAAAAATTGATGTCATTTCCCCATATCACACCTTCCAAGCTAACATGTCTTGTTTTCAGAACCTCGGTAATAAGCAGCAGTTCTCCCTTCCCTTCATGCCCTGTACTGTCCCCACATAGTAAAAGCTGCAAAGAGAAACAGTAATGAGAGCCAATGAGTGAAGGGCAAAAGGGTGATCCTGACAGGAAAAGGGGGTCTATTTCAGTCTTTATTTTGTAATATGCTGGGATCCTCAAAAAAATGGAAGCATCCTGGATCTTACTCAATTTCTGACAGTTCCTGGTTCCGGTTGCTTTATCTCTGTGAGTAATAATTAGCCATTTTTTCCCCCCAGGCACTTAGTACTGAAGTATTAGGTCTTCTTTGATTCTTGTTTTCTTTTTACCATCCATATTACAGAACCAGTCAACTTTTCTAACTGAACTGTGTCTATCTGGCTTTGAGCTACCCTATTGTTCTGGGTCTCATTGCCTAGATCACAAGAGAGGAACGTCCTCTTAATTGGCCGCCCAATTTCCCACCTGACTTTTCAAGCACAGCTCTGGTTCTTAGAGCACTCTTACTACTAATGTGTCAACATTACACACATAATTAAATTTATTTTCCTCTCCGGCTCTCTATTTTTGTATTTTATCCTCTGATTTCCTATAGCTCTGGCTTTTTGCATCTGAGAGGCAAATTGTACAATTTATCACACCTCGAAATGTTACATTTCTTTTCCTTGGGATTTGCTCTGTCTCTGATATCTTTCCCCACCTCTTCCCACCTCCCTCCACATTTTTACTGATGGAGAGTACTATCTCCTTCAGAAAGGCTTCCTAGATCCTTTCCTCTGGCTGTAGCTTCTCCCTCTCTTATAAAAAAAAAAATGTGCATTGTATTTGTGCCTTTCCTAGCAGGTTGATTTTGCTCTGCTTTTTTTTTCATGGTATCTGTAAGCATGTCCATTTTAGTAGCTTCCAGCATTCTGATACTGTGCTTTAGTTTTAGTTTTGTACTTGGAGGCAACAAGTTAACACAGATGATCGGTGTCCTGTTAATTCTCAGTATCTGAAGCAATGTCCACACAATTCTTTCACCATCAGATTGATGCAGAATTCCCTGAAAAAATATTTCTCTAGACGATTAAGTGTCCTTTTTTCATGGAGTTACATTATGGAGGGAGGAAGCAAATGGTATATAAATAAACAAATTGCAGTTGTTGTCTTCACAGTATTCACAGTGTAGCGGAGCAGACGAAAATGTAAACTAATAATTAAAGAGAACAGGGTAAACATAAAGATAGGGACATGCACAGTGTGGGATGTAGGACATTGAGAGTCAGGATGAAACAGATAGCAGGAGCACCAAACATGCTACAAGGGCAATAATCAATGGGGAACTCTCTCCTCCCACATATTTGATTTAATTCATTAATTTCATCCTACCTTTCAACATCCATAAAGACAGGGACTGTGTCATAGCCTCAAGCTGTATTATGCAGAAACTCAATAAATACTGGTTGAATGAACAAAGGAATAGAGACAGATACGCTGGTATGTAGATGGATAGATATGCAACAAATCCCTAAAAAATGTCCCATTTATCTTAGTTTAATACAATTAGACTAAAGTCTATTAAACTAATAAATACATATTAATTAACTATAAGTATATATAATCATTTATTAATTGGAACAATCCATTATTCATTCATGTTATTTAATAACAATGTTACTTTAACTGGGTAGCTTACCACCATTGTAATTATTTTGAAAGAACTGGGACCTAGACTATCAGCCCATAAGTTTACCATTAATTATTCATTTCTTGAATTTCTCTAAATCAGCTGATAAGGAATTAATAGTGCTAGCTGAGTACTGTTCACAAATTAAGTGCAAAAAACATTTTAATAAAATGGTGCCCTCTCTGACTTACTAGGCGAACAGTGGAACTGCTCCAAGGTATTTTTATTCTATCAATACCTCCTAGATAATGAAAGGTAACGAACCAGGTGGTGGGAAAAAAGAAACATGAACTTACTGGTGAATCCGTGCGCGGCTGAAGGGGCCCGTATAGCAGTCTGACTCCTGCAGGTTTGGAAAAGCTGACTTATCAAGAACCATTGGGTTTTGGGACATCCATTTTTTTATTCTCCTAAAATAATTTTGCACACTGGAACAAAGTCACATGAACTAGATTAGGCTGCATTCCAGAGCCATGCTACCTTCTATACCATTCTGATAAAAGAGTTCCAAAAAGACATACACACACCCACACTCACGCACTCACAAGCATTTCTCCTGCTCCCTCACAAAAGAAATAAATTCCAAAACAAATCAAATCTTGCAGTTGTTCAAACTCTTTCTGTGCAACTAGGTTATCCTTATAAGAAAAATTTGCGGAAGATGTTTTTATTTTTTTAAGATTTTATTTATTTATTAATTTGGCACAGAGAGAGAAATCACAAGCAGGCGGAGAGGCAGGCAGAGAGAGAGAGGGGAAGCAGGCTCCCTGCTGAGCAAAGAGACAGATGTCGGGCTCAATCCCAGGACCCTGAGATCATGACCTGAGCCGAAGGCAGAGGCTTAACCCACTGAGCCACCCAGGTGCCCCTGGAAAATGTTTTTAAAGAATCATCATACATAAAGATGGTGGTAGGAAAGAACATAACAATAAAAGGGGTATGACACACTTATCGAAGTTGTGAGTGCATAGATGTATGTATGTACACCGGTATATGTAGCCGTAGATCATTCCTGGATTCTCTGAAACCTCTACAGCCAGGTGGCTCTAAAGTGGAGACTGAAAGGAAGTAAATGTCTACAACACACTTTGTTGTGTGAGCCCCAGCTGTGATGGAAACAGCAGGGGTTTGGGGGAAGCAGCAGGGGTCTTGGTATCAAGCAAAACCCAGTTCAGGGGCTCCTGGATGGCTCAGTCAGTTGGGCATCTGCCTTCTGCTCAGGTCATGATCCCAGGGTCCTGGGATCAAGCCCCACATTGGGCTCCCTGCTCAGTGGGAGGCCTCCTTCTCCCTCTCCCACTTCCCCTGCTTGTGTTCCTTCTCTCGATGTCTCTCTCTCTGTCAAATAAATAAATAAAATCTTAAAAAAAAAAAAAAACCCCAGAAACAAAAAACCCAGTTCAAAGGCAACTTGGCACCACAGTGGCTGTGTGAACTGACAGATGTTATTTAATTTCTTGCCTCCATTTCCTCACTATTAAAAAAAAGTGACTTTGTTAGAGATTTCTAAGTTGGTGCCTTACTTCATTTTTTAAAAGATTAATTAATTATTTTTTTTTTTTTTAAAGGGGAGAAGCAGAAGGAAAGGGAGGGACAAAATCCCAAGCAGGCTCCACACTGAGCTCTATCTCACAACCCCGGGATCACGGGGCTCACACATATTTTATCCAATGCTGTGTAAATTTTTAAAAAATTTAGTATAGCAATGTGGAGGCAGCTAACAGTGTATCTTAGGAATTATTTCACTCAAGTCTATTATGGTAAAATTACGATGCATAATTTGAAATAACAGTGAATTCCTGACATAAAGTTCAGCATGCAGAGAGTCTGGACCTTTAAACCTCAAGTCACTTTTGGTTTTACAGGGACTAAAGCATTTCTTTCTAGCCCAAAATAATAAATGGGCAATATCTGAGGTGCTTCTTCTCACATAACGAAAGCCTCTGAAATCACAGAGTATCTATGTATTTCAGCAACTAGTGCACAGATATTCATAAATCACTTAATGGATTATAGAGCCATTACTCCAGCTTTTTAAAGTTGGCACAGTGAGGAACACAGGGGAGGGAGGAGGTGGAGGAAGAGTCTTCCGGAACTGAATTTGCCGGTTATTGTAACTGAAGCAAACATTTTCAAACTTTGAGCTTTAGGTTCTTTTAGGTTTTTTATCTGGAGAGAGGGGAAGTGATTTTATCTGTGATTCTATCTGTCCTACCTTACTAGGTGTCAGAAGAATCAAATAAAAGGATACCTTCTGACTGCACTTAGGAAATGTTGATGAACCACAGTTCCTGAGGGCCTATGTCTGACAACATACAAACATAGAAGAAGGGGAGGTGAATTTTAAAGACATTAATGAAACAGAAGGGCCTTCAGACCACTCTCATTTTTTATAGACATAAATAATATTATAATATAGACTTTTCATATACTCATTCTATGAAGAAGTAAATGATTCTGATGGTGTAATGTGGTCAGGCCTGGTCAGGCCTGGTCAGTCAGGTCAGGCCTGGACTGAAATCATGGGATGTAAAGTTCTAGATTATTACTCAACTTCCTTGATTCTTATCCAATTTTCTAATCTCTTAAGGGAAGAGATATTTTGAGAATTAAATACATAATGCCTACATCCATAGTGCTAAGAACCCAGTAAGCACTCAATGCTTATGGTAATAATAAGGAAAGAGTATTACTACTCTGTCTACTACTACCAGTCTCACCAACATGTCACCAACATGATCTAATGCAGTATCTACACTCTACCAAATTTTTCTCACCTTGGCCATCTTGCAGACTCAAGATTTCATGGCATATTGTGAAAATGACTCTAAGGGAGTTTTAAGTTCCTTGGCTAAAATCAATGGAAAGCAGAGAATTCTACAGAAATAGAAAAAAAAATCTGGATTTTTGGTCAGAGCATCAGCTCTACCAAAACAGCTGTGAAATCGGGGGGAAGAGGCATGGGGTTAGTAGAGAGTGGTAATAATGGTCACTTTTTCTCCCAGATCTGCAAAAACTAGTTACTCTTTGCTCTGCCTCCCCAAAGGGTCATTTTGAAGATGTTTTGATAACCGAATATGAAAGTGCTTTGTAAACAAGTGATAAACAGCAGCAACAATAAAACCATAGCCATTTCCTATCAACCTGCCAGAAGAAATGACAGTCTTCAAATGCTGGATAATTGCCCGTACATTATTCATCACCTAACATTTACTGCTCAAGATACCTACGCACAAAACATCTTTCCCACTTCAAGAAAGGAAAAGCACAAGTGGAATCTAAGTGCATATAATTGATTTTCATTTCTCTCTTGCCAATTGTCTACAAATTAGGTTTTTAAAATTTTATAACAATGATGGTCACCACACACACACACACACACATGGAGGGTGGTGCGAAGGGGAACACTTAAACTTTCTCCAAAGTTAAAGTTTAAAAAAAGAATCAAAATCAGTTATTTCCCTAAGTGAAAGTCTAAACTCAAGCAAATAACATGACATCCTTTTTCTCAGTTTAATATGTCATATACTTCTGTAAATGCCCTTCCCAGGTATTTGGTATCCTTTCCATATGCATCCAGAAAGTCAAGGAACAAAGAAACTATTTGTAATATGTAAATTATAAAAAGGTAGGCTGTAATAATGTTTAAAGTATTTTAATAATTATTTGGAACATATAATTGAATTTTCATTACATGGAATTAAACAGAAAATAATAATAAACACAACAGATAATAAAACATATGATGCGTAATACAGTATTTATTTTTCCAGCCTACTTTAAAGTCTGACCAAAATAGAAAAAAAACTCACATTTTTTCCACTATTAAAAATGTTTTCTTTAGAATTTAATAGACACATTTATCATGCATTCTAAGCACAAGTGCATTCTAAAACTAAATTATATAATGTAGAAATTTGTTGCTATTTTAATATACAGGATTTTACCCTCTGTTGGTCTCTGAAAGAAAGATACTTGTTTATCAGAAAACCCACTAATTATACAGTAGCAAAATCTCACTAAGTCTATAGAGCTCACTGAACCTAATCCAAAGGCATTTTATCAGCACATCAAATACAATGCAGGCACATGCAAGAAGAACAAACAAAACCCTCGGCAGTTGTAAATTCATATATTTGATTTCCAATGACTTTTACTTTATTATATAAAAAAAATTTTGGGAATCTGCTATACAGACTAGGACCAAATATGCCCAAGGGGCATGATAAAAGTTCATTTTAAATTTGAGCATGTTAACCCAACAAGCTGAAGAATCTGACCTGGCAGAGGAGCATCATTAATAATTATAGTATTTTAAAGAAATTTTTAAGTACTACTTCCTTTATTATTCATTCTAACTTCAAGTCCCCAACCCCCCGCCGATTATTTACTTTTCTTGTTGCCTGTTCCTACCACATCTAAACTTAATGTTTAAGAGAGAACAATGTTCTCCTCTCCTAAAATAAAAAATTTTCCTAAAGCTCTAATTATATTCGGCCACTTTCTCTGATAAAGAACTAGACTTATGGACTCCTTTCCTAAAGTGCTCTGATGTTCACTCTATAGGATTCCAGTTTTGTGTCATTCTGCATGTAACATCCTGCAGCGTTATTCCATAGTGTACTCTATCACATTTTGTTTTCATTAAATGATTCTTTTGCAATGAACAGAAAAAAACACCTGAGTATAAGAAGCCTTTTGTTTTTAGCATCCATTGAATGGAAGCTCATTTTCCTCAGTGAAACAGGCCAAGGTGATTCCGGTGGGAGAGCTTCTCCTGTCTTAGGGTTGTGGTTTGGTAAATTCCTTGTCATACCTACTGTTACTGCAGTGGGTAGAGAGAAATTTTGAGATGAGGCACTTGAAAAAGTATGTTTTCGATATTCGGATAAGACAGGCAGCTCAGCTGGTGAAATCAGAGCTGGCCTGCAATCCAAGAGATGCTGTGTGGCCTTGGCAGACCACTTCATCACTCTGGAGGCTGGTCTGTCCTTGACCACCTCTGTTAAACAAGAGATCTGGACTGCCATGTCTGCTCTTCTAGGACTCCAGTGGGTCATCATTTGCCCAACAATCCTGATTTTATAACTGTTTTTTAAATTAAAATCTCCTGAGATGCTAACTTCCAATTAAAATCCCCTTCTCATGACATTATATCAAAAGATGATTGCTGGGACATCTGAGTGGCTCCATAGGCTAAGCATCTGCCTTCAGCTCAGGTCATGATCCCTGGGTCCTGGGATTAAGCCCCACTATGGGCTCCTTGCTCAGCCTCTCTCAGTCTGCTGCTCCCCCTGCCTTGTGTGCTCTCTCCCTGACAAATAAATAAATAAAATCTTAAAAAAAAAAAAACAAAAAGAGGATGGCAGGAATGGCAATGGTAAATAGAAAAAAAGAAAAAAAAAGAGATGATCTGATTTTAAACATTGTTAAATTTGGCATAAGTCATTTTGGAAATATTTGAACAAATCAACAGTTTTTATTCCTAAAATTTACAACTACTGATATGGGTAATTGAATATTTTATTTTTCTTGCTTTTTCCCAAATGATAAATTGTTGTAAACAAATTACACATCATATACTGACCTGCCCATTGATTTGTTCCTCCTGTCAGTGTAGTAGCATTTTTTCCTGAAAAATAATAGAAACAGGTGAAAACAGTCATGTGAAAAAAGAGAAACCAGTGAGTGACAACATTCAATCATACTGAGTATATTAACTCTCCAACTTCCACATACCTAAGACAAGAAATAAGCCAATATGATAGTAAGACTTCTGAATGTATGTTGTCTTAATTTCAGACTTTAAGTTTCTAATAACAAAAAACTTTGATACTGGGTGTGGTGCATAAACAATGAATCTTGGAACACTGAAAAAATAAAATAAAATTTAAAAAAACTTTGATAAATTAACTTTTGAATATTTGACTTTTAATTCCATTTTTTGAGTCTGTGTTCTGCTACCCAATGCATATTAACTGGATCATTTGCTTATAGGAAGTCATCCATTCTTCCATCCATCCATCCATTTATTTATACTCCTATCTAAACACATATGCAGTACGTAGCTATTCTGTGAGCTATGTTAAGGTATAACCATTAAAAATGTAGAGGAAAAAATGAGGGTGTCTCCCTCAAAGAGCCTCCTTTACAGTTGAGGAGACAAGTGATAGTTATAATAAATTGTGATAATGCAGGAAAACAGAGAGTGCTAAGGAAGGACCTAGGATGGGATCTCAATTAGTTTTTGTAGATGAAGGAGAAAGGAGTCAGAAAAACCTTCTCAGAGCATGTATTATCTGTGTTGAATCTTGAGATATGAGTGGGAGTCGTCCTCTGAATAACGTACATAGGACACAGTAATCTTGACAGAGACAGCAGCATGTGAAATGGGGTTGTAGGAGCAACACCAAGTATTTTCAGATTCAGGAAACTTCAGCTACTTTGGTGGTCTCTGGAGTATAAAACTGCAAGTTGAGCACAGTGATAAGAGAGCTGGCAGGGATGATGAAGAAGGCACAGATAATGAGGCATCTTACCACTGACTCTAAGGTTTTTGGATAAAAAACAATGGATGAAAAACATTGAGTGTTTTAAGTAGGTGTGTAGCATGTCCGATTTTAGAGAATCCAGAAGTTTGTGACAGAGGATAATTCATCTCCTTAAAGATTCTTACCAGGTCCTCATTTTGGAGCTCAGAAATCTCATAGTCAAGGCCTTCTAAAATGCCTTTTTTCCCCACCCAACAAAACCCATTTCAGAGGATCACTAAATTCCTCCCTCTGTGGCATCTAGAAAGCAGAGCTGAGTCAGGACAATCGATATTTGGTCCTATGTTATTAACTGCTTAGAAAACTTGAAAACCTGAACTACCATATTTCATGGCAAACACTAGTTTTACTGCTAAAAAAGATATATTTTTTTCAGTTGTCCCTGACATACCTCAATACTAAATTCAAATATGAAATTTCAAGTCTTGCCATGTCTATCCTAAACTCATTTAAATATCTTCCCCTTCACTTTTTCAAATATACAGAAAATTCATGTGCATACATAATTCCATCCCCATTGGAATATAAACCATCTTCTCTCTGAACTGCCTCTACACAGATTGTCTCGCACTATTTCATCATCATTATATAACTGATAATAGACTATCTTCTACAGGACATTGAGCCTCTTGAAAGTAGTGGTTTTATTTCATTTGACTTTGTATGCGTGCTGTATATTTGGCAAACTGTTTGATAAATAGCAGGTGCTCAGATAGCTGATGAGTAAATGACTGAGTCTTTGTTTAATTTACATTTGCATTTATTTCCTTCAGTGCCTGACATCACTTTGCACTTAATATTAACATTTGCTAAATGAGGAATTATTTTTTTTAAAGCTACGAATGTAGAAATTAGTTTAAAATAGTTTTTTTGCACCAAAAAACATAGAAATGTTATATAGAGAAGATAAAAATTATTATTATCAACCACAGATACAGTAAGGAATATTGCAAGGGGACATTTAGATTTAATACTAGTCTCCATTTATCTTTATTGCTGCCAGTTTGAAATGTCTCATAAACTTTTTTTTTTTAATCTTTGAAGTGTTTTGGGGACAATAAAAGGAAAAAACAAAGGAAGAAAGCCACAAAGGATGAATATATACACTTTTCAAAGAAATATTATAAAAGCAAATAAAAATGAAGAGACTCACTTTTCCTAACTAACACTCTTTATCCGTTAAATTCAAGATGAACTATGTGTGACAATTAGTGCTGTTGAGTCCTCTTGCTTGAGGACTGGTTATTGTTTATCTATTTGGCTATATTAAAGGGTGAGATTTCTTTCTGTCTTTGCAACCACTAAGCAAACTGCCTGTGATGTACGTCACATTTTGATTTAACGCTTAGGCAATAATACAAGCGTTTTCTTTCTCTTCTACTTTTATGAAGTTTTCTGGGTTGGGGGAGATTTTGTTTTTTCCCCCTAAGTGTATTTTTAATCCATGACATCAATAATAACTTGCTCTTTTCCTTAATTCTTCTTCATAAGTGAACCAGCAGGACCAAATCATTTTCTACCCATAATCCTCCACCCTGTGCTTTATTAACTACATATTGTTCACAGACAGAGCTTTCTTTATTTTTCCTCTAATTTTTCATTTGAACGATTCTATGATTTTATACCTTGCATCAAGGCAGCATCTATCTCCCTATCTACCTACCCACCTACTTAGAACATCCACTCAAAACTGTAAGTAAATAATGATGGGAAGCACTGTTTTCCAAACCAGTGTTCCACTCATCCCTGTGGTCATGAGTGGAGATTCCTGCAGGGCCAAGGGGGATGGGCAGTCATCCGGGTGGAACCCTGGGTCCTCACCTTGTCAGGGAGAATAGCTCTAGTTTTACGTATTTCATATGTTGGGCTCCCTGGCTGTTTCTATGTTATTTTATTTTTGAGGGAAGTGTTCTTTGCATAAAAAAGTGATCTAAATTTAATCCCAATTGTGATGAAAAATTATTCTTAATGGTTTAAAAATATCCCCCCCCCAATCTGCTATGTTTAAAATATTTGTGGGAGAAGATTAAGAATCCTATTAAGGAACTCAAACTGAGAAGGGAGGGGATGACTGAATCATCTTAAAATATGTTTGACTCTTTTATTATGAAAGGGGTAAGAAGGAATAGGAACCACCTTTGAAGCAAAAGAAAAATAACGAAAGCAGGACTTAATATTTCTGGAATGTGGAAGATACAAGCTAAGTCCTTGCTGATAGAAGAAAAATAAGAAAATTTGAGCTATTTTCATCCTCTGAAATTTTCTTGGGTAGTTTCTGAAACACCAAGTCTAATACATAGAACATATTTACTTTGGAAAAATAATCAAAAAAGGAAAGAGCTTGAAGATTTAAGTATAAAGTTCTATACATATATTTAAGTAGAGAATTTAAATAAAATGCTTAAGATTTCTGTTCAAACAATTATTTCTCCTTATTGTATGGTAGGTTATAACGCTAATAATCTTTTCTGTATACATTTGCAGGTTTTCTTTGTGAAATATAATATGTAGGTTTTAATACTGAATACATATGTGGGATAGCCAAGCACATATAAGCTTTTTAATGCATAAATCTTTTAAAAATTCTTGTCCTAAAAAGAGATATCTGTTTTTTCCTATTTAAGTTCTTTGTTATTGTATATTTTAATTTTAAGGCAGGATGTATGTTCTTAAATTTGGTAACAGTTGACGATTGGAAACTGAATCAGCCATCATAAAAACACTTTGCCACTTAGTTTATTCTTGTATAGTATTCTCTTTTTATGAGGCAATGGCTATGCCAAATTTCATGTGCACCTAATAAATAAACGAGAAGTTAGTTATTAAGGAGTTAATGTTACATCTATTATTTAAACTGATCTGGAAAATGTTCCAAGAAAACTCTGTGTTCCAGTATTTGTCAAACTGTTTTCCCAAGAACACCTACATATTAAGATTTTTAAAATCCTATAATCACATGGAAAGGGTGCTTCGTAAAACCAATTCTTGAAATGTATAAAAATGGTCAGAATTATTAAAATTGCTAAGACAATACTTTTTTTGCCATCTGCATCAGAATCCTGTGGGATGCTTGTTAAAAAATGTATATACCTTCTGTTCTAGAATTCGTATGCCATAATCCCTGGCGGGGAGGGCTCCAGGAACTTATGTTTATTAAATGTCTCAGGTGATTGTAATGCACTCTACAGGCAGAATGAGAGCCACTTCTCTAAAAATTCCTACAGTAAATAAATTTACTGTTCAACTCAGAAATTCAGAAACATATTTGTTCGCAGGATATTTTTCTCTTAAGAACCTGTGGAACTAGTATTCCTTTGATACCTTTTTGAAAATGTTGCATATTAGTTCTAATATTTATATTATTATATCATGATAATTACAATGGCATTTTCCATAAGTTTTAGTAATATAGCAATTGTAAACATTATTTTAAAAAACATGTTATAGGGAGGCACGTGAGTGGTGCAGTCAGTTAAATGTCTGACTCATTCCCATGTATCCTCTAAGATTGAGGACAGATCTAAGAGATTATGTGGTTGAACTGCAAGGAATGATTCTTGCTAACTGCTAGACCAAGAGAAACACTCTCTTTGCTTACAAATGGATGCTACATATACATCCTGCCTTCCACAAAAACAGTGAGAGTTTATACCCACCCATATGAAATAAGAACTGAGACTGATCTTGGAAACAGTAAGTCAAATTCTGAAAACAACCATTTTTCCCTCCCTCTAGGCCAGTCCACCTAGAAATGTTATAAAACATCCAAGGGACCATAATTTTTTATCACATTTGGCAAACATATTAGGAGGAAAAAAAAATTGTCCAAGATATTCTAACATTTGGAAGTAAAAGCTCTGTAGAAAGAGTTAATTAACATTTGTTTCTCTGAAGTTTTGCAAAGAACAGAATAATCTTTGAGATACATTGAGATAGAGTGAAGTAAAATTTGGAAGTACCTGAAGGGCATCCTGATATTGAGCCTTTCTGCATACTTGCACAGCGTATCCCACGGAATATGAATTTTAATAAACATGATATCAGGGTTTGCGACAGCTGGCTGCAAAGGATAGAAAGGCAGTTATCATTATCTAGAATCAAAGTTGATGATATTGTGCCATGATCTGATTTGAAAAGAAAAAACACTGTCACCTTGTCACCACATACATCATTGTCACTGATTTAATCAGGATTTATATGAATAAAAATTTGTAATGCAGAAAAACCTTCATAAAAATGTAATAATGCCATTGCATATAAGAATAATTTTTCTTATATTGACTGTTACCAAGATCCGGAATACCCAACCAGAAAAATCATGAGCCAGTTAGGAATCTGAAGTTATTCTTGTTGGAAACTTTATCATCATTCTGCTCAGAGGGAAGAGAAAACACTCACAGCTGCCACTAATCATTCATTGATTCATTCACTTACTCTTCTAGCAGATTTTATTGAGTAACTACTACCGGCTAGGTCCTATGAAAATCCTGGGAGAAAAAATGGAGTATAAATCATACAAGTCCATGACCCTACAGAGCTGTCAAATTTGCACACTTAATTTAACCTTTTAGTCCAGAAGAATTGAAGTGTTTTTGATACACACAAAAGGTTTTTAAGCAGAATCAAGTGTGCATTGAAATGATTAATGGGGCTTTTAACAAAATTCTAATTCTTTTTTTTTTTTTTTAATTTTACGGGCTCCCTGCTGAGCAGAGAGCCCAATGTGGGGCTCGATCCCAGGACCCTGAGATCATGACCTGAGCCGAAGGAAGAGGCTTTAACCTCTGAGCCACCCAGGCGCCCCGACAAAATTCTAATTCCCAGAATTGGATTCCATTGTTCTGAATATTTTGTTCATATTATTAATAGAGAATCAGCTGCATTTAAAAAAAAAGATTTTATTTATTTCTCTGACAGAGAGAGAGAGAGAGATCACAAGTAGGCAGGGGGGGGGGAAGCAGGCTCCCCACTGAGCAGAGATCACCACCTGAGCAGAGGGCAGAGGCTTAACCCACTGAGCCACCCAGGCACCCCTGCAGCTGCATTTTGAACCAGATAATTATCAGGATTCTTAGATGTGTCCCACTAAGCTAAAATAGGTAACTATACAATTGACTAGTTTGGTCTTACATATCATTCATGGTCATATTCTTTTTTTTTTTTTTTTTAAGCCTAGACAGTTTTTTTTTTTTTTTTTAAAGATTTTATTTATCCCTTTGACAGACAGAAATCACAAGTAGGCAAAGGCAGAGAGAAAGAGAGAGAGAGAGGAGGAAGCAGGCTCCCTGCTGAGCAGAGAGCCCAATGCAGGGCTCGATCCCAGGACCCGTGGATCATGACCTGAGCCGAAGGCAGAGGCTTAACCCACTGAGCCACCCAGGTGCCCCTAGAGCCTAGACAGTTATTTTCTCAAGGTCCTGTACTATCTGAGGCCCACATAGCAAGGAGGATGAATGTGACTATTCTAGGAGTGAATTCCACAGAGTTTACCCTTCGGATGGTTATTGATGCTAATATATAAAAGAACAATTGTGTTTTGCTTTCACTTATCAAGGTTGGCAGGTTAGACACAGCTGGACTCTATTTGATCAGCACTGTTCATTTAAATTTCAGGTAGATGGAACTTCTCAAGAAACATAATCATCTTAAAAGCTCAGAAGTATGGAAGAAATTTATCATTTTAATTTAAAATCACATATATTTTATAATTAAACTACACAGTTTTATGTCCACACATTAATATATTCATAAATTTATAATCAATACATTATATCCAAAATATAGTCCTGGGGGTGCCTGGGTGGCTCAGTGGGTTAAGCCTTTGCCTTTGGCCCAGGTCATGATCTCAGAGTCCTGGGATCAAGCCCCACATCAGGATCTCTGCTCAACAGAGAGCCTGCTTCCCCCTCTTTCTCTGCCTGCCTCTCTGACTATTTGTGATCTCTCTCTCTGTGTCAAATAAATAAAATCTTAAAAAAAATATATATATATATGCATATATATATATAGCTTATATTTTAGGTGTGGCTGATTTCATAAGTTTGCAGAACAATATTTCAAGTATGTATCACCAATATTTAAAGAGTATTCTTAGAAGACCATGGAGCAATCATCTGACTGATACTCAGATATAGGGGGCATCATTGCCATAGGACAGGCACTTTCATTGAACAGCATTTGCTAAAGTTTATTTCCCAGAGTACTATGAAAAAAGAGGCAAGATATTCCATGGTCAACAAAATTTTGGGTTTCTCGCCAGAGGACTTGTGAGACACTTTAATATGTGTGTACTTGCTAAAAATATCCAAGAAGGTGATAAAGTAAACTAAATTTCCAAAAATTTGGGCCATGCATTATTTTTTTCTTGAGAGTTTATTGAGGTACTCATATTTTACAAATCATCATGGGAAAAATAGCAAAACATGCTTTCATATAAGTATAATTTCCAAAGAGCTTTCCTACTTTGAATATGCTTGTTTTAAATTACAGGTAAAAAATGTGGGAATTAAATTAACAATGACAGAAGAAGACACAGTATATGTTAAATATTAACAGGCCTTTGAATTTAGACCACATGCACCCCAATGTTTATAGCAACAATGTCCACAACAGCCATACTATGGGACGAGCCCCGATGTCCACTGATAGATGAATGGATAAAGAAGATGTGGTATACATATATAATGGGATATTACCCACCCATTAAGAACAATGAAATCTTGCCATTTGCAACAATGTGGATGGAACTGGAGGGTATTATACTAAGAGAAATAAGTCAGTCAGGGAAGGACAAATACCATATGTTTTCATTCACGTGGAACTGGAGAAACAAAACAGATAACATTGGGGAAGAGAAGGAAAAAATACAATAAGATAAAAACAGAGAGAGAGGCAAACCAGAAGAGACTCTTAACTACAGGGAACCAATTGAAGGTTGTTGGTGGGGGAATGGGTAATTGGGTGATGGGTATTAAGGAGGGCACTTAATGTAATGAGCCCTGGATGTTACATGCAACTAATGAATCACTAAATTTTACCCCTGAAACTAATACTGCACTACATGTTAACTAAATTGAATTCAATAAAAAAAAGGGAAAGGTTTTTGTGTAGGAGTGATAGATCAAGAAAATCTTTCTAAAACACACAAAGCATAAGCATTTAAATGACTCCTTCACTGAGACAAGTGAAAGAAGAATTTCATGTTTTATTATAGTTTTTCCTGCTTTAGTCATACAAAAGTTCTTATATTCAAACTGATAACAAAGGTATTTCTTTTGAAATTATGGTGCTGGCTACTGGTGTTACACCAACTTGCCTTTTCACTTACCAGGCACAACTTAAAGTTCTTCAATCCTAACTGCCTACTTAGGAAAAAAAAAAAAATCACAGGGTATGGTAGACAGAACAAAGGGTTTGGAATCACAAAGACTTAAGCACAAATTCCATCTTTACCATTTACTTAGCTCTGTGAGCTTGGGGAAATTACCTTATCTCTCTGATCCTGTTTTCTCTCCTGAGAACTGGAGATAATGATCTTGACTCACAGAGCTGTTAGGAGTGTTATGAGAGGCTGGACACAGAAACTACTCAAGTATAACAGGATATCCAGAATTGTTCATTCTCTGTCAAGAGCATGCTTCTTTAATCAGACGTGAGCCAAAATAATAACTAATTTCAAAACTTCACTAGAATCTTTCTCTCTCACACTCTCTTTCTCTTTTTTCTCTGTAATTCTTTATCCTTTGGTTGTGTAAGCCTTCAATAATAGGCCTCTTGAGTTACACAATTATAAAACCAGTAACAACCTATATTTGGGGAAAATTCTAGAGTAACTAGAATCAAGTGATTAAAGACTAATATAAACTGGATATAAATTGTAATATAACTGTATTTCTGTGGACTAAGGTCTCTTTGGAAGATGTCTCTTCCTTTATGTGTATTTAAATTATCCTATACCTGTATGTTATAGCTAGTTCCTAGGGAGAAGTGGGCTCTTTTTTAGCAGCTATAAAGAGAGAGAAAATGACACCCTAAAGATTACAGAAAACATATCAAGTATTAATTTTCCTCAGATTCTGGAAGAGAGGCCTCTGTGAAATGAATGAGTCTAGACACAGACAAAAACCAATCTATCCCAGACTGACACATTCTAGGCGTGGAATGATTTAAGACTGAGTAACAAGCCTTTGAGAAATGCATTGATGTTTGAACATTACATTCCTTCCAATGGTACCATGTGAGTTTGAAAGTAGGGATCTCTATTGTGGAACACGCAGCTCCTGGGACAAAAAATGGTCTTTCAGGAGCTGGACCTTATTCTAGTGTGAATGGAGATCTCATTCTCATTCAGAGCATCATGGTTCCTGAAGCCTAGGCATGTTGGTTGCCAGAGTACAGTTGTGGCATGAAGAAGGTGTGAATGACACATGTTTTAGGAGAGCTATTAGAAGGTTTAACTCCCACAGCAGGAGAGCTTGGGTTCTATTCTACTAGGTGTGTCCTGATTTATCTTACCTTACAGTATGTATAACCAGAGTCGATCACTCTCCTCTTCCCCACAGCTCCCACCCTGGTCTAAACCATCATCATCTCTGGCTTAGATTCCTGCAGTGCTGTCCACCAGAGCCTCTGCTCACATTCTTGCCCCCAATAATGTATTCATAGCATAAGAGCCAGAGTAACTCTTTAAAATAGAACTCAGATCATATAACTTCTCAGAACCCTTTGGCATTCAGAGTGAAAGCCAAAGTGTTTTCAGTGACCTACACAGCCTTTTATAATCTTGTGCTCAATATCTTGCTAATCACTCTCTCCTACTACCTTACCCCTCACTCATTCTACTTTTTATCTTTCGGTCACTTGTTACAACTTCCTTGTCCTTGCCCCATCTTTCTCACCTTCTCTATTCTTTTCCCTGTTGTATTTATTATCTTCTAATACGTGAATCTATTTATTTATGTTAGTGCCATGGAAGAAGTGATCTTCATTTTATTCATTTATGTTTACTAAGCACTGAGTTCCATGCTGGGCACAGAGTAGTCACTCACTAAACATTCGTTG